AAGATATTCTTCAAATCAGGATCCAATGATAGATTTTTCTCTCTCTCTCTTTTTTTCTTTCCTTTCTTTGTTCTAATTAGTTATATGTGACAGTAGAATGCATTTTTTAAAAAATATTCTTAGTTGTAGATGGACACAATAGCTTTATTTTGTGTGTTTATTTTGTTTTTGTTTTTGTTTTTTTATGTGGTGCTGGGGATCTAATCCAGTGCCTCATTCGTGCTAGGCAAGCGCTCCACCACTGAGTCACAGCCCCAGCCCTAGAAGGCATTTTGACACAGTGTACACAAATGGAGCACAACTTCTCATTCCTCTGGCTGTGCCTGGTGCTGAGTCACAATAGTAGTGTAATCATACATGTATATAGGGTAATAATGTCTGTCTCTTTCTACCATCCTTCCCATCCCCACAATCCCAACCCTCTTCTCACTCCCCTCTGCACAATCCAAAGTTCCTTCATTCTCCCCCCCAACCCCACTATGGATCAGCATCTGCTTTTCAGAGAAAACGTTTGACCTTTGATTTTCTGAGACTGGCTTATTTCACTTGGCATGATGTTCTCTAGTTCCATCCATTTACCTACTAATGCCATAATTTCATTTTTCTTTAAAGCTGAGTAAATATTCCATTGCATATATTTACTTTATCACATTTTCTTTGTCCATTCATCTGTTGAAGGGCACCTAGGTTGGTTGCTATAAACATTGATGTGGCTGTGTCACTGTAGTATGCTGATTTTAAGTCCTTTGAATAAAAACCAAGGAGTGGGATAGCTGAGTCAAATGGTGGTTCCCCATTGAGAGATTTTGTTCCATTAAATGATGCTTTGTATTTTGTAAGAAAAAGGTAGGAGAATTTTTAGAAAATATAAAGCAAAGGAAAATTTATATATAAGTTAACAGAATTTCAGGAACTGAATACATCCTAAAACGTTTTGGAACTTGATTGGGTAAAATAAGTCCATGCAATGGCTACCTATAACCTCTTGGATTTCAAAAATCAGTAACTTTTTGCCCAAGCTCCCTCCTGTACTGCTAACCTCTGTCCCCTTGGTCACTTCCTCAGATATTTACTTACATTTACTTGATGTTGTTCGTCATCAATCTTTCCCTCATTATAAAAAAAAAAACACCAACTAAAATTTACCATGTGCTGTTCTAAGTGCTTTTCATGTCTTGTGTCATGAAGCACTCCCAATGTGTTTTGCAGATGAGGACAACACATCAGAGAAAGGGAAATGACTTGCCTAGGATCACACAACTTATGAATAACAGAATCAAGTTGAGAACCAAGGAAGTCTTTCCCCATAGTACAGAGCCTTCACCAGCTCCTACTATACTACCTGTCACCAGATCTCTGTCTCTTCAACTCTGCCCTCCTTCTATTCACCCACTTCTTCAGGGTACGCCCTCCATTCAGTAATATTTAATGTGCACCCTTGGGCAGGCATGCTGTGCTTGGGGTTAGGGTTTCCAGAGTTAAGGATGTGGATGCTGGAGCACAGTCTAGAGGTGTCAAGCAGGAGGTCATGGCGATGGAGAGTGGGGAGCAGGCAGTGCTCCCTAGGTCCTCCCTAGGCAAGGGTTGGGGGAGGGGTAGATTTCCTCAATGTCATCCTTCCTAGGGGAGTGCTGGCTGGGCCAGGGAAACAGTACACTCTGAACAGCAGATGTACAGTCTACTAGCTGGAAGACTGAACAAATCATTTGAGCTCTCTTTTAAGTCCTGTTAAAAACAAAATAAAATAAAAATGGATAACAGAGTGGCTCCCCAAACAGCTGTCCTTATCTTTCTTCCTTGATTATTTACAGCCAACTTCAAGGTTCGACTCTATGCCATAACTCCCCCTCTGTCTCTTCAGCTTGGGTCTTTCTTTCTTTCTTTTTTTAATTTTTTTTTAGACATTGATGGACCTTTATTTTATTCATTTATTTATATGCGGTGCTGAGAATCGAACCCAGTGCCTCACACATGCTAGGCAAGTGCTCCACTGAGCCACAATCCCAGCCCATTGGGTCTTTCTTATGAGCCCTCAAGTTGGCCATCTGCACGTGGCCCCTGCTGCCAACCCAAACTTTGTATAGCTGCAACGCACTGCCTGGAGTTACTGCTGCTCACCTCTGTTGCTAGACTGCCATTCTTCCAGAAATCCAGGGATGAAAATTCTTCTAATATCTCCTCTCCCTTCCCCCTGACATCTAATATCAGTCTATTTTCAAGTCCTTTTGAAGTCTCCTTTCCTTTACATTTTTACTAACTACGTTTGACTTCCTCATTTACCTATCGCAGTAGCTTCCTCCTAACTCGTCCCAATGCAATGGGAACTCAGCTTCCTAAATCGTGATGCCAGGTCATTCTTCCTGAATCACAGGATGGCCCCTCCTGGCCCCCAACGAGCTCTGCGTGCTCTCTCCTATTCTCTTCTCCCCACAGTCCCCGAGGTATCCTGACTGCTTCTGCTGTCCTCTGCTTGCGGATCCTGTTCTCCATTTCTGAAAGTCCAACTTCGAATGCTCCGTTCCCACACTTCTCCAGAAAATTTCCCGAGTCCTTTGGTCGGCAGCCACCTCCCGACAGGGGCAACACTGTCACTCCTCTGAGCACCTAACTAGTTCTGCAGCTTATGTACTTTAATGCATCTTTTCTCTCCCACTGCATAGCAAAGTCTTTGTATGTAGACTCCAACTGTGACTCATTCCCACGTGTCTCACTGATCCCAACACAAATGCTCAAAAATATAAAGTGTTTAAAATGTAAGACCGGAAAGATAGAAGATTGGGAAAATGGAATAGAAATAGCAATAGCATACTACTGACAGAAATTTCAGAGTGCCAACATTAGGCAACCCTCTCCATCACAGGGATTTTAAAAGAAGGGACATAACTGACTATTGTCACATCATGTTAACAAGGAATTTTTCAGAAGAGTACCATGAAAGGGACAAAATATCACGTTAGTGTTCAGAACCACATATTGCTGAGGTACAAATTAATGCAAATAAGGATTTTAAACAACACGTGCTTTTCTTTTTTGGCAGTACGGGGGACTGAACCCAGAGCCCTGTGCATGCTGATTTAAGTGCTGTACCATTGAGCTACATCCCCAGCCCTTGAAAGAATTATTGTTCATCTAAATGAAGCAAAGGGAAGATCAAAGAGGTAGAGATGAGCTACAGAATACATTAATAAAAATATATTCTCTAATTTTTGCCATTACATGGCAATCCATGGAATCTCAAAATCACACCTTTAAAGATGTTGTGTCAAATTGGGTGCTGTGGCACCTACCTGTAATCCCAGCAGGATGGCAAGTTCATGGCCAGGCTGGGAAACTTAGGGAGACCCTGTCTCAAAATAAAAAATAAGAGCTGGGATGTATCTTGGTGGTAGAACAACCCTGTGTTCAATCCTGAGGTCCACAAAAAACAAACAAAAACAACAAAAAATTGTCTCAAACGTTATACTGATAGTAGCCATAGGAGGCAAGCCTATTTTTTAAAAAACCAAGAATTTAGCCAGCTAAATATCAAGAGTTTGCATGAATATTTAGAAAAGCATCCTTAAGTAGAAAATAACAGAAATTTAAAATCAACTACCATATAATTGAAGATGTAAACAGATCAATTTTGAGCATAATTCTCCAGACCTTGTCAGTTCCAAAAGAGAAATGGATGGACATACTTTTGTTAATGTTAGCTGTTTTACTATAACTGTGGAGATATGCTTCTAGTCTCAAAATGTTCATTTCTTAGGTTGGGGATGTAGCTCAGTGCTGCAGAACACTTATCTAGTGTGAGCAGAGGCCACAGTTTGATCCCCAGGCTCACACACACACACACACACACACACAGACACACACACATACACACACACACAAAGTTCATTTCTTTAATGGAAGGGAAGATTTTAGACTCCATCTCAAACATGCCTGGATTAGAGACCAAAGAAAATGAAAACAAATCCAAATGCCACACCCATACGGATCAACCCCCAAACACAAATAGTGCAACTCAATAAATGGAGCACTTGGTTAGGTTATTAATTTGGGAATTTTGTCCTAACCTTTATGTGTACTGCAAAATAGTTTACACTAAATCTTCCCTCAGCAAATAAGATAGTATAATAAAAAATTCCAATCTACAAAAAAAATAACCAATTCAATTCCACAGTGAAATAAGGTAGGCCCTTGGCAGTGCTTTAAAGAAATGAGTATTTCAGGGGTCACAGTGGTGCAAGCCTGTAATACCATTTATTTGGGAGGCTGAGGTCAATAGCAAATTCCAGGCCATCCTGGGCAACTCAGTCCCTGTCTCAAAACAAAAAATACAGGCTGAGGAAGCAGCTCAGTGGTAGAACATCTGCCATGCATGCTAGAGGCCCTGGGTTCAATCCCAGCACTGTGAAAGTAAACAAATAAATTTTAAAGTGAATAAATAGGCTGGGGATGTACTCAATGGTAAAGTTCTCCCAGGTTCATTCCCCAGTACAGCAAAAAAAAAAAAAAAAAAAGTGTTTTTTTGTTTTGCAATGCTGGGGATCAACCCAGGGCCTTGAACATGCTAAGCAAGCACTCTACTACTGTGCCACACCCACAGCCCCTGTTTTTTTTTTTTTTAACTTTGGTTACATAGCATGAAATTTTTGTGTTCATGAAGAGATAAGGGGGCTTCTGAGGAAGTTAAGTAGAAACTGGTTTGTAAGACCTCCATTACAGCAGATAACAATTTCAAATGCAACTTCTGGTTGAACTTCAAGGTTGGATACCATAATTATAAATCACCTTGGATAGAATTTAATTGATCGATAGCTATTACTATTTTAAATAACCGTCAGTCTGACCCTAAAGACCATGAATGTATCTCCCAAGAGTTGCTGCTAAAACTTAAGAATTGAAAAATACTACATTTAATAACAAAGGGGAATTTAAAAAAAAAAAAAACCTTCCTTAGATTAGCAGCTTCATCAACATCCAGGCTAAGAAAATTATACTAAAACCAAGGGTACTTCACAGCAAGATTTATTAATACATCCAAAAGAAAGAAAGAAAAATCATTTTGTCACACTATATACAGATAATACATACAGTGTTTTATACACATATTACATCAGTTTTTACACAAGAAAAATATACATAAAAATGTAAACTTTTGTATACAAAAACCCTTAAACAAATTAAACAAGGACCAGATAACAAAAGGAGACCAATCCATTATTATTTCATCAAATTTTTAAAACAGTAATACAGTACATTCATTGAGATATATGGAAAATGTGAGCCATCTCTTCTTGTTTAAAGGGAAATTACAAACCCCAAACCCATCATCTCCCAAATGTGTTCTCTGCCAGCAACACTACCCTCTATGCCACAGACATGCCTTTCTAACCCACACAGGCCCCACCAAAACCTACCACCTCCTGTCTTCCTTCTGCTGTCTGCAGAAATGAGTGGCTCCCAGTTTTTGTGCATATGACCAAGCTTGTAGCCACACCCTTAACTCAAACACAGAGAAGATTCTTGGTTCGTAAATTCCCTTTAAGCAGCTTTTTTTGTTTTGTTTTCTACATATTTTTAATGTATGGCATATTAAACATACTTGTGTGCCAAGGTGAATGAGAACACTGAAAAAGAAGGGCTTAGAGAACTGCTAGTCCTTGCTACCGTGCAGTTACTTTGTTAGAAGAGATTTTAAAACTGTCCAACCTGTCATTCACTGGTTTCAAATCAGCCACCTCACCTTTGATTTCCCACTGCAACTTGGTTTCAACTTCGGCTTCAGTACTGTAGTTAGTGCCAAGAGGCTTTTTGTTAAAGGCTGCTTCTGATATCAAGTTCCAGCTAAGATACTCTGTAAAATCATTCCAACCCCAACCTCTTCATTTAGTCTTTCGGGGTTCCCATACTCCATTTTTACCCCCTCTAACATCTTACAGTTTAGGATTGTTCATCTACCTTCCTCTCTCTACATATTCTTGAGATGTAATCTGCTACCAACTCATCAGGAAATAAAATAATATTCAACAGCTAATTTTTTTTTCCTTTATGTTCTTGCATTCAGTGTGTCAAGCTGATCTACTAATGAAAACTACCTGAAGCTGTGGGGAATAAAAATTAAATGACAAACACATGCAACTTGGAGTTCTTCGTTTTTTGTTTTTTTTTTTAAAGAAAATGATTGGGAATACCTTTAACTAAATAAATGCAAAATGTGCTTAAGACAGCTTCCCGAGAGAGAGCTGTCTTCTTTCAAAGTTGAATTTTGAACAAGGCAGAATAACAACTAGGTGATATATTTCCCTGCAGCGAGAGAGTAGTTAACTTCCCTCCAGGCAAAATGATCTCAATGATCATCATTTATTAATGAAAGGAAGAGGCAAACTGGTGAATTAAGTTGATCTAGAAGATAGTGGATGACACACACTAATGGAAATATTAGGATTGTTTTATAACTGAAACAAACAGGCTGTGCTGTGGTACATCTCCATCTCAGAGAGGAAAAAATGCACAAAGTTCTTCAAGTGAATCTTGTCTTTCATGGGATAGATGGCATTTTTAAAAACGGTCTCCCTTTCAGTTAAACAAACATAACAATACAAGGAAAAGGAAGATAAATAAATAATGTGTGGATGTCTTTAGATGAGACTTTTAAATGTTCTTTAAATAATTTTTGATAATGTATTTTAAATCATACATACAACTGCCATTGCAGCGACAATATTCCAGTAGGGGCAGCATTTTGCTAAATGTAAAAGATTGCCATTTAAAACTCATACATATACATGTGTATATACAGTTATATCAACACTATTTATATACATATATATCTAGAGAGCAACATTTCATTGCCTTTGAATATCTATACGTCCACTCCCACATACTGTGTGAGTATTAACAAAGTGTATGTACACATGCTCCAACATGTATATATACACTTTTGTCTGTGTGTGCATAAGAGATTTAAAGGCACAATATATAGGGATACGAGTTTTTTAGAGAGCTGCAGCAAAGTTAAAACAGAATGTCACACTGTGAGATAAGTCAAAAGGAAATATGGCAGAATTAATTAAAGCAGTTTCAACATGAGTAAAGTGAGTTACAGAATTCAAGAGGCTTACATGTGATTTTGTACGCTTTCCTTTAAAATGCAAATGGTAAATTTATAATTCAATCACAAAGTAAATCAAACTATTTGCTGACAGTAAGTGTACTATCAATCAAAATACTTAAGTGTTTTTTTCAAAGTAAGTTAAATAACCAGAAATTATCTAGGTAAAACTTTCTAAATTAGTTTTGTTTGAATGTTGCCTTTTTTTTTTTTTTTCCTGTTTTTGAGACAAAGATGACTACCAATTCTCAAGAGTACTGTAGAAAATACTTCTATCTTCTGGGAAAATTCAGAAATAAATATCTTTAAAAGAAACAAGTGAGAAGCTAATGAAATATGTTTAAGTCAAATGCTTCTAGCTTGAAAGGACATAATTATAGAGGAAAAAAAATGATGTGTGATTTTGCTTTTCACTCATGAGAGATTAACTAGCAGTAGGGACGATGAAGAGAGTGGAACTGTGAGTAAAAATAGTTAGACATCATTTCTGACAGCCTTAAGTGAGACTACAATCCAAAGGACTTGCATTTTAGTATGCTCAGATGATGTACTCTAGAAGGTTACCTCCTCTGGCTTACAGAATAATCCAGAATTTTCTGTAGATGTATAATCCTGCTTAACAAAGGCTGTTACCTATTATACACACACTTTTTTTTTTAGGGAAATATATGTATATAGCTTTATCTATACACACACATATACATACGTGTATATATAGATTTATACAAATGTATAAATAAACATAATACTTTTCAGTCTTTCCATTGACAAGGCAAGTTCACATTCAGCAAAGTGCCACCACATCCCATATACACATCTCTGTACAGATATACACAAAAGGGTCTGTCTTTACCCTTCAATCAGGGGGAATTTATTCTAGCAAATTCCATTAACCAGCAACTGAAGGGAGAAATGGCACCAATACAAACTCCCTTCTTTCATTTGCATGCATATGTACAAGAAATGCAGATTTTTAAAATCCAAAAGCAAAAGCGAATGGAACTGGGAGATGCTACAAAAATAACAATACAACTGTAAAAGAACAACATATAAAGCTTTCCTAGGTCTTAACTGTATCCAAGAGGAAGTCAATGAAGCTTCAAAGAGGACTACAAATGCGGATGCGGTATCAGAAGTTGTTTTGACATATCTCAAAGCACATGATTTTTTAATATTAAAAGTAAATATGACTGGAACACTTAATAACTCTAATTTTGACTATTTTATATCATCAGACACTCCAGTAAAGAGTGTGTAGCAAAATGATAACTAAAACTCAAAGGAATGTTTTTTAATTCCACACCAATCAGGTAAAAGTCAAGGGTAGCATAATTTTTCCTACAGCAAAAAGATGGGGCTCTCTAACTTCCTAATTAATGGTACAACTGAATAAATTTTTTAAAAATGCTTTGGAAATAACTGAAATCACCCCAGCTTTGAAATATGCATGGTGAAATGATCCCAACAACTCCCCTTCAAAAAAATTTTTTATAAAAGGCCTTAATTTTTAACGTCACCGTGAAAAAATGATCAATAATATTTTATTACTCAGAATATTAAGAAATCTATTATTAACATAAAAGAGGTTCAAAAGATCTCTGGTCCCATCACCCCAATAGATAAACACAGATCCTGTCTGGGTCTGTCTGTCTGTCTGTCTCTCTTGCTTTTATGTTAAAAAATGAGAGGCTGGTCTTAGAATCTGCTGTTTCTCATGTCACTTAAAAAAACATAAGTTAATCCAAAAGTTAAAATAAAACGTACATGATATCAGAGCTTGCCTTTTAACATAATATAACATAATGAAGAATTTGGTATATTTATACAACAGAGACAATGAGAAAGTTAACTCTTAACATCCTCAACTAAATAAATCATATTTCTACAATACATTCAGTTACCTTTCTCTATTTGTACATTAGCACACATTCATCTCTCTCACACACGTGCCCCAATGAATATTTTTGCATGTGTGTAAAAACATATACATGCACACAAGTAATTTAATTCTATTTTTAAGTCACAGTGGGAATTCCTTAGTGAGGAGGGATAAAAAAGTTCCTGAATAAGACACTGAGAACATCTAGACTTATTTTCTCTATTTTACTTCCCAACTTACAGAATAAACTGTAAATTAAAGAATAAATCCATAGGAAATAAAAGAGGTCTTAAAAACTTAGTTTACAAATTCCAGCTACAGTAGTTGGAGTTTTACTTGATCTATGTATTTCTATTTACCCTGTAACTAAGCTTCTAGCCATCTTAAGTGTAAACCACAGATCATTTACTAAAGAACATGATTCTCAACAGTTCTATGAACAATAATAAATGGTCTAAAGGTGTTCTACATTTTGAGGCCCCAGGATATCCTTTTTATTTTATATATCTGCAAGGTAGCAAAGGATAGCTATACACCTTGACACGGCAGAAATCCAGTGTAAAAAGGTGCTTACTAGTTTGTCAAAAGGAAAAAAAAAAGCTCATATATAATTTTTTTTTAGCTATTAAACACATAGGCAACATAATTCATTACACTCAATACAGCTTTAGTATAAAACTTATAATTTATGAGGTGATGTTAATAGCATAAATTAATATACCTTTTCTCTTAAAATCTACAATAAGTATTCTGAAAGCTCATGGGGGAAGGAAATTTTTAAATAAAAGTTTTAAAGCTGTGCATGATGGGAAAGGATTCTGTATGCTGAAGCTGAGATGAGAGCCTGAAGTAGAAAGGAAAGAAGTCCTAGGCGAGACACCGTGGGCTACTAAGCCAAAATGTTTTCTCTTTCTTGCGCTCTCTTCAATGATGAGTCACCTTTAGTTTCTTTTAAAATTGTTTTCTTATTTTTAAAAACTGCCCTAATTTCCACAAGGAATCCCTGAGACATACTCAATACTATACAGTGAAAAGAACTGCCACTGTTGAGAGGAACTGATTCAACCCTTCCAAACAGATGAAACAACGTCAGCAAGTGTCAAGCTTTTCTTCATTTCAACACTAATCCGTTGGAGCCAACTGTACCTTAACGATGCAGGTTGGAGTCATTTCTGGGCAAATCAGTCTATTCCCCAAGTAAAAGCAAAGGCGTGACATTTAGCTGCATTGGAGCCTTCTGCACTGCGTGTTGAAAACTTTTCCATGGGGAACTTTGGGTGCATATAGAGCTTACTTCAGTGGTCCCCAGCTTAAGAAAAACAAACAAACAAAAACAACAACAACAAAAAAAAAAGTGAAAGAAGAGGATTCTATTACTCTTCGGCCAAGATCAGTACAGAGTATGTGTGCACGTGCATACTTTAGTACCGGGGATGGGCAGAGGCAAGCAGGCAGAAGGGAAGAAGGAAAGCTGTGCTGCCCAATACTGCTTACTAGGTGTTCATATTTTTCTCTAATGGGACTGTGTCACACTAAGCTTTAGAACTCTGCTCTTCAAACTACCCAGACACTCCTGATATTCAGGAACCTGGAGTAAAGAAAGTCACACCAAATTTGCTCTCTGTCTGAAATGACACATCTTTTCTTAATCCTGTATCAAAGCACAGAGAGAAAAGTTAACAAAAAACAATTGGAGTGAAAAAAAGGCTTCCTAAGTTTAAACCACATTGCAGCTTTAATTAATGCTGGTTATCAAAGAGACACAACTATTCATATATGCTTATATTTTCCATTCTAACCACTGGTCAATGGAAAATGCTTAGCAGATTATCAATACATGTTCTTCACAGGTATTTAAAATTTTACTTTAATTTACGAAATATGATTTTGGCTCACTCTATGATATAGGAAAGCTTATAAAGACCAAGATATTAAGAAATCATCAAATTGTTTCACTTTTGTATAGAACATTAGTGAAGATTCAGTCATTTTCAATTTATTGAGGGGGAAAATTAAAAAAAAATTTAATTGTAGACGGACACGATATTTTCCTATTTGTTATTCTTTATAATTTATTTATTTTTATGTGGTGCTGAGGACAGAACCCAGTGCCTCATACTTGCAAGGTAAACACTCTACCACTGAGCTACAACCCCAGTCCTAGATGTTTATTCTTGAATTAATATATACACATGTGTATATCTGCATACACCATGTGTATATATATGTATACACATACATATGGGCATATATGTATATATCCCCCTAGAAATATACTTTCTGTCAGAAAAAAAATCTTTAGAACAATGTAGGTTTTGGTGATAAAACAGATACAAATGAAGTATGATTAAATTTTTTTCTAAGAAATCCTCTAAATTGCCTCATTAAGCTGGAGAGTTCTGTTGACCATTTAGCAGACCACTCTATTCAATCATTCTCTATATGACAGATTAAGAACAGAATTTAATAGAATTTTAAAAGAAAGGATGAAGAAACTGAAAACTAGGCACGTAAAAATTTTTAATGAATTTTAAAACGCTTAAATAATTAGTTTAGTGTTAATATCCTCATCGTTTTGAGATACCAATCCACAACATTTTGAACTAAATATTTTAAAAGAAGGAATAACCTCATACAGATATTGCTGATGAAGCTGATCAACCATCACTAGCCTCCCATGGTGTAGGGCACAGAAGGGATCCCAGGCAGGATCAGCAAACCAACAGAAAGGGATTTAGGCATGTGTGCTCAAATTCTAATGCCAATTTATAAAAATTCCATGCTATAGGTCAATGGAAATGTAACTTCTTCCATATAGGATGAACCTGGGATGGACAGGGGCACCTGTGTGTAGCTTGGACACAGTTTCCTTCCTGATACAAGAACTGCCTTTGCCACTGTGGATTGTAATCATGTTTTGAGGACAAGCCCTGATAAGGAAAAGTTTTAGTGTTAGTCAAGAAAATGGTGATCTCTAACTTCAGCTGAGAGACTGGGCTTCTTTAAGAAATAAATCTTATAAATAGTATTTGGCAAAGATAAAGTATTAGCTTTCTTTAATCTCAAGCCACTAAAACAATAACACCAATTTTAATGAAAATAAAATAAAGTCACTTTCCAACTTTATCTCCATACCTACCTATTTGCTTCTCATTACATTATAATCTTCTCATAGAGGGACACTAGACACAGCACACACTGCCTGCCAACATGAAATTGCTCGGGAAGTCATTTATAAAGTAGGCATATTACACACGGTAGGTTTACTAGAGAAAATAATCCTTTGCTGTGTAAGCTATGTGACAATAATTAGTAAAATTTTCCATTGCATAGTCTGTCACTTGGTGGGTGAAGTATAATTGCTATTCACTGTCCTGAATTGTTGACTAGCTACATAACCTATGGAGATATGAACATTGCTAAGCCATTTTTACACAGGAAAAAACAACGTCTTAAGTACTTTTATTAAAATAATATTAACAGTTAAAGGAGAGAAAGCCCGTCTTTTCTTCAGATGCTATAGATCACAGTCATAAGTATCAGATCCTCAGAGCACAGAACACATCCATTAACTGCAGCAACTTTGAAAATTAAATCACAGTAACACAAGCTAACTGGCCTTTATAAATGGTCCCAAAGAACTGCAGAAACAGAGTGAATCTTCTGCCACCGTGTCTCATACGTTGAATACTAGAATAAAAGCTAGTTTCTACCTAAATAGGACCTTATATAAAACTTGTTTTTGATTCCAGTATTGCCTTATGATAACACAAATGTTATTTTAAAAGACACCAATTTTAAAAGACACTTCATTTCTTTTTTTGCATATTAATAGCAAGCCTACTAATAATAGGACTAGAACTGCTCTGAAAACTAGAACAAAACATAATGGATATCTCTGGGCTTATAGATGTTCTTCTCTCTTCACAAGAAACAGCAAAGCAAATTGCAAGCTTGGATATTTGTTTTGAAGTAGATGAAAAGAGGAAAAGTTTGTTTTTGCTAATTATTCAACCCTACACTGGTACTTTCTAAAAGTGCCCTTTCCTCAGCTATCATGGTGGGCATCTAAAGTGAATTTCCTCAATGTTTTTGGTGTGAAGCTGTAACTGGCAACATTCCTGATCATTTTCATGCCTCCCAACTAGAAAGCAGAGAAGGGCTTTTAAATGCACATAAAACAGAAAATTGCAAACAATAAAATGTGCAACTTACTGCAAACTCAGTTTTGATAACTGAAGATTTTTAAGCAGCTAATACGAGGGACAAATAGCCAGAAATAGTTCAAATTACCTACCCATGACCTGCCCTTTGCTGTCAAGAAGGGCTAATAAAAAGTCCATATGCTACTGTGCTATAACCTATAGATAGTACACAATGGAGACAAAATGAAATTGCTGGGAATTCAGTGTTACCTAGTGATGATGACAATGGGATGTGAAAATAGCACAGCAAACTAAATGATACTTGAGCAGAGGTAACTACTAATATTTCATTACAGTGCACTAAAGTAAAAAAGCTTACTGACACAGGTTCACAGGTGAGAAATATGCAAATTATGTGTTCTCACCACTCAGAATAGAAATTTATGGTGATACCAAATATAATTTTGCTTTGAGACATAACTTATAATTTAGAAATGTTTCAATCTTCAAAAAAGGCAAAGCTATTAAAAATAAATCTTCCAATCAATTAACATGATTTTTAAAAAAAAGTAAATATATTACATACATATTTTTGGCCCCCAAAGAAACTTCAATAAATACAAAATAGGGCATATGATTCCATACAGTCATGTGACATTTCCCCTCCATAATCCCAGGCACGTGGTATCTGCATAATGCTTGCTGATCACCATCATTCCTTTAAAAAGCAGAGAAAGAAAAGCTTCCAAAAGAAGGGCCTGGTTAGAACTATAATGGCATAAAGAGAATACATATAGGAAATAGGAAAATATGTCCAAACTTTTACCTACTAGAAAGGAATTAAGATCAAATATTCCCTGATAAATGAATTATTATACCACTTCACTAATAGATATGTTCTCTCTGCTCATCTTTTAAAAAATATATATGTAAATTAGGCTGGACTCAGGTATAAATAGCCAATGTATCTTAAGGGACAGTGAAATTTCTCAGCAAAATTGGAGTACAGATGCTTTAAAATCTAGCTCCACCCTTCTCTGAAGCAGAGGGCAGGAAAGGCAGGCAAGAAGAAATCTCACATATTTATTTCATAGTCACCAACTTACTAAACTATCCAACATGATTTTTTACCCTAAAATCCTGATACTTAAAAGAATTTCCCAAAACTTTTACCAAATTTACTTAAACCTAGATTAAATTATTTTAAAAGTACCAAATGCAGGTAAAATGTATGTCTGATCTCCATATTCTGCTTTGAAAGAAATTTTAAAATGTGTATCCTTCAGTTATTACACATCACTTCACAACTGGTACACTGATTCTACAAGTGTCTTCAACATTTTACAAATCTTACCAAAGAATCACTACTGTAAACATGAAAAAGTCAAAAGCAAAAGATGGATCAAGAAGTTCACAGATTTCATCTTTCAAATCTATCTGACCTATCCTGCTTTTTCACATCAAGATATTTTCTTCAATGACATCTTGCAAAAGTGTCCCATGAGTGAGGGGTTTAAAACAAGTGCAGGTCTGAAAAGGCAAAATGGCCTCAGCAACCCCACAGTCACTCCAGGCAAGTCTTGCTTGACACCCGCCCCCGCCCTGCCCCCATCACTAATGTGAATTCAGCTTTTGGTGTCTCACTTCTTTATGGGCTAACATTTAGCAGAAAAGGGTTGTGCTATTCACATGGGCAGATCACCCCCCTCCCTATTCAAGAAACTTCAGTTAACTCAGTGGGACAGAATGACCAACCTTACTAGGATGTGAGATGTACAAAGAAGAAAAAAGCCTTATACTCATTACAGGGGTTAAAAAAAAAAAAAATTAACAACCCAATGGGACGCTACTTCCTGCACTGCACAAAACACACACATGGGTGCACACACACTCACAGGTGGTCAAAAAACATTTTTTTTTTTCTTTTTAGTTAACCATGATCACAATTAGGAATGGCATCCTGGCCTCTGGGTGGTGTTTGGCAGCTGATGCTGAGTCAGAGCCTTAACCTGCCTCTATACACCACCAGTTATCTCCTACACAGGAACTCATTTAATAGGATCATTCTATCTAGAACCACCTATGTAAAAACCTGGCTATAGAATGGAAAGCACTGATCTGAATACTAGGAAATAGTAAAGGGCACTGGTAATCTGAGGTATCTTCCACTTCTAGGACTTGCTGCTAAAAACCAATCCTATCCAGTCAATGTGCTGAACCACCAAGGAAACCACAGGGGCCGAGTGGACCTGCCAGGAGGGAATGAGCACCAGTGCTTAGGAGCACATGTGAACACTGCAGCAAGGTCCACTGCCTGGCCACCTATTGAGCTGGGAAGGGGGTGCCCCTCTAATTCCCATCTGCTATTTTTAAGTCTTCTTTTGGAAAAGGGGGTAGGGGTGCTAAAGAGGAAACAAAGATAGAAAACACCGGGTTCCCCACCTTGCCTGCAAACACACAGACACGCTCAGTTAGGGGAGGGAAAGGGAGAAGATGCATTATTGGTACTTGTAGCTGTGGCACCTGTTACTGTGAAGCCTGTAGGAGGGGCTATAGAGCTGTGGCTGGGCTGCAGGTCCTTAGGAATGCCACTGTGAGAACTCAGCTGGTGGCCGAAGGCTGCGCTGAACTGAGGGAGTTGCTGCTTGGGAGAGGTGGAGGCCATTAGTTCAGCAGAAGGCCCCATGCCACTGAAGCTGGTCTGCGGTAACCCCGGAAGCACACTGGAGCTGCTGGGGGTCACGGTGGCGAAGGCAGGCTGTGTGGTCTCTGAGTTCGAAGTGGTGGGTGGCGTGGATAGGGAAGTGGAAAGAAGATGTCCATCTGCGCCGAGAAGGTTGCTAAATGGAGAGGGATCTCCAAGGTTGACAGGGAGATTACCCCAGTGAGTTCTAGGGTTTACCACTCCTCCAAGTGGCACCTCAAGTTGGGTTGGGAGCAAGTGCTGCGCCATGATGGGCATCTCTGCTGAAAAGGTAGCTGCCATATTATCACCAGAGTAAGATGTCGTGTGGGGAGAGGTGATATGGTCACTGTAGGGAGACGGCACGTGCTCACTATCATAATGGCTTCCATGGGGCGAGGAGTGTGAATGATCACTGCTGTATTGCTGTCGTGAGGTGATTAGGTCGTCTGCCTTGCTCAGCAGCTGGGCAGGATGTGGCCTCTGGGAGGCATGGCTGCCATCATGAAGTCCATGAAACTGTCCTGGGAAGGCTCTCTCCCCAAGTGCACTCTGGCTGATCAGAGTGGCAGAAGTAAGGCCAACGTTGGCTGGGGCAGAGAACTGCCCCTGGATCTGCCCTGCCAGGGGTGTAGGTGGGTTAGACAAGGTAGCAGAACGGAGCAGGTTCTCGTCCAGCTCTAGACTAGAAAAATTATCATGTACTATTCGCCCATTCAATAGCTCCCCTAGGTCCGTGTTTACTTCTCGGCTCAAGGACTGGATTCCTGAAGCTCCAGTACCTGTGGAGAACACCCCTATTCCTCTATCTGACAACTCCTGGACTGGTACACCGTCTGACTGGGTAAGTACCCCAATGGTACTCAGGCACTCGAGAGAAGTTACAGCCTGCAGGGCCCGTTCAAGCTCCTCAGCCTCTTCGGTGGTCGGGAGGAGGTCTCCATTCTTTCCTGAGTCAACAAAAGGCATTGAGAATAAGTAGGTCTCATATCTAATCTATACCACAGCATTCATACATTTAAATTATTCAAAGAAAGTCCTTCTTGAAAAGGGAAGCTTCTAAGAACTGCATTGGAAGGAAAAAGTAAACTATTAATCTGCAGGATGGGTCTGAAGGATCAGCTGCCTGAGAACTTGAATCTCGAAGGCCATCTTATCAGATGTTCAATTCTTAGGAACTCTAAGTGTTACCAATTTAAAAGTCTTATAACCATTTGGTTGTACATGTTTTTATCTAAAATTATATTTATTATATTATGATAGAAAACACAGGCTGCATAGAGCTACTGTTCCTTGCCTTGTCTATGCCCAGCTTCTTCCAGCTTGAGGGCAGACAGAAGACCAGAACACAGAAGCTCATGCATACATTTCAGCACAACACTAAGCACTCAGTTCATTTTGGGGGTGTTTACCTAATCCTTCTCCCTCATTCTTTTTCCATTTCTAATTGATTTTCATTAAATGGAAGCACATGGACACACTTTGATTTCACTATCAATTTAAAAAATCTTATTGTTAGGAACTTGATTTATCACCATGAAAATATTCAATTTTTAGTGGGGAAAAAAAATATCTTAATAGCATAAAAGTTTTCCCCTGAAAGCACTGGGGAGTTGATGGGATTAAGCAAACTTTGTTTTAGAAAAGTTCACTTTAATTGAATTACAGGGTAGGATATTAAAACTGGGAAAGTTCTAAAAGACTTCAATAAACTTGTGGTTTAAATGTCTGTGTTCAAAAAATTAAGTAAAATTACTCATTTTAAAGAAACAAAGTTATAAATCTAGCTATCAATATAAATCTACTAAACCTAAAATATGGTTAAACAAAATTACCTACTCTCCACTTCTGAAAAGGACTGAAAACTTTGGCAGTGTTATATTTTCTGTCTATAGAGTGAAAAAATATTTTACTTGAGGAAAATTTCAGACACATCTCAAAACTATTTCTCTTCTTACAAACTCATTTTTTTTAAGTCAGTTTCTTTAATTAAAACACTGACCATACCTTCAAAAAAATCAAAATCTTGCAAGTCATCAGGTAACCGTGGCAGGACGTCTGAAAAGTCCTCCTGGTTCAATTCCAAATCATGTGGAATGTCGGTGATCTCGTTGGCAATGTCATCCGGCAACTCGTCAGCACTCAGCTCGGGCGTGGATGGGCTCCTAGGAAGACAGGGCATTTGGTGCCAGCACTCCCCCTTCACCTTCATACCAATGTCAACAATTCAAGTTTACCCCACATAAGAAGATGCTAACGTCTACACTTTTTTTTAATACATATATATTCAATGCAAACATGGGAAATCCTAATATAAACTGTCTCCTTCCTTACTTTGTGAGAAGGAAATCAAAGCAGATACATTGCAAAAAGATATACCTTGCCATATACCGTCACATATTTCTTTAATCTTTACCCATAATTGAGATAAGAGAATTATTTCTAGCTATATTTTTACTTCAGATTAGTAGAATGGATCACAAGTATGTCTTAATATTTTGTAGTAGAATTTCAAATTTGGTCAGAATAATAATTTTAAAAATGAAGTAAAGCACTGGGCATGGTGACCCATACCTATAATCCTAGCCAATCATGAAGCTGAGTAAGGAGGATTGCAAGTTCAAGGTCAGCTTGGGCAACTTAGCAAGACCTATGAAAAATAAAATTTTACAAACAAGAGCTAGGGATGTAACTGCATGGTAGAGTGCCTGCCAAGCAAGCATGAGCCATTGTGTTCAACCCACAGTACCACAAAAGACAAACAGGTAAAACTGAAATGTAATAAAATGAAACAGAAGCTCTAGTTATCCTGTCAAAATGCCCAAAATTAATAATGTCATAATTCTGATGAAATATTTCTTATGTATATGGAATTTCTGTTAAAAAAAAAAAAATCTGAGTATTGGGCTGGGATGTAGCTCAGTGGCAAAGCATTTACTTCACATTCTGAGTCCTGGGTTCAATCTCCAGTTCCAAAAAAAAAAAAAGACCAAAAAACAATTTCAGCATCTGTTCTCTTTGCTATAATCTAAAGCTTTGATAGTGATAAATGTGCACTACAAACTCAGCCAGAATTAGTAAAATATATTCCTCAAAATGGCTAAGATGAGGCTGGGGCCAGGGCCGTAGCTCAATGGTAGAGCACTTGACTAGACAGAAGTACAGACTGACACACTGGATGGCTCTGTAGTTTAGTGCCGACCTTCTGATACTCACACAGACAGATGTTCTGAGAACATTCAGGAAATAGGAAAAATAAGTCCTGACCACCACTCACCGGATCTGAGAGGCCTCCACTGGCAGTGAGACGCTGGTGGGCATGCTGAGGTTCCCTTGGGGGACTGCTGGGGGGATGGGCTTTTGGGGTCGACGAGGTCCACGCCTTCTCTTTTTCTTATGTTTTTTGGTGAGTGCAGGAGGCTTGGTTTTTTTCCTGGGTTTCCTCTGCTGCTGGTGCTGAACTTTACGGGAGTTATCTCCTCTCAAGAAATTATCCTTTGGAATAAACAAAAAAAAATTTATTATTTTTTTTAAACTGAGGACTACTCACTGATCAACCCTACCTCACCCTCTCTCCTGGTGTGCTACTCTACAGTAGGGTGACTACAGATAACAATAATATTCTGTGCAGCTCAAAAAACCAGAATAATGACTCTGGAAGTTTTACCATAAAGATAGTTTAACCCGATTCAAACATCATATAATGTATACACGTTAATAGAAAAGAGCCCCCACTATGGCAATATCATGTAAAATTTGTGATGTTCCCAGGTGGCAGTTAAATCAAATTTAGTATTTAAACAATTGAGACTATCTGGAAAAACAATCATCTTCAAAAAGCCTGAAGTTCTTAATATTCTATATAATGTCTAAAATAAACTTATACCTATGTAATTATTCAATTCATATGAATTCAACATATATACATAGTTCATCCCACATTTAAAGACATTATGGGAAGTACTATAACATAAATTTTGTGTTTTATGTGAACTTACTCTTGTATGTGAAAACACAGATAAAAATCTACATAAATACAGTACAGAGAACATTAAATAATGACAAGGTAAACACCTCCCACAGGTATACAAAAGAAAAATTAATTATTTTTGGTTTGTGAGATTAAAAGGTAAGTAGATTTTAAATTGTGGGATAATAGAAAAGATCATTCTTGTCTAAAGGAAATAGCACAAACAAGAGAAAAAGTATAGTAAATGACTAGGTATGATCATAGATGAAACACAAAAGCAAGCTGTAAGAATTCTGGAATCAGAGTACATATTTCTTTGAATTTCCGTTAAACATTTTAAACTTTTATTTAACAGGCATTGCAGCGTTTTGGTTTTTTCTTCCCCCATTACTGGGGATAAGAACCCAGGGCCTTAAGCTCTACTGAGTTACACCTCCAGCCCCTAGATAGGATGACAGCTCCCCTGATGTGGTGAGATACATAGATGTCTAGAGAGCTATGGGAAAACTACCGGCGCACAGGAATAAAGGGGATGAAGACACAGACCAGGAAATCCATGACTCAGTCAAGACCTTTAAAATAATTTATACAGGCAGGGAGACAGAGAGAATGGACACTGAGGACACAGGTACATAAAACTGCAGAAATTAAGTGAGTAGGCAAGGGGGTAAGAGCCTACAAGGACAAAAGAGAGAGTGATGATATAACTAGCTTTCTTCAGTCAATAACATCAACTCTATCATCTGCCCACCATCTGATACAGACTAAAAGTCTGTTTCATCCCCAAACTGATGTTGAATCCTAATCCCCCAATGTGATGGTTTTAGGAGGTGGGGTTTCAATCACGAAGGTGGAGCCCCCATGTATGGAATCAGGGCCTTAATATGTGAGACCTCAGAAAGCAACAATGAGGTTGGCAGGGTATAATCCAAAAAAGAACCTGACCAGAACCCAACCATGCCTGCACCATCCAGAACTGAGAAATAAATATTGATTACAAGCTACTTTATCTTTGGTACTTTCTTACAGTCACCAAAACTAACATCACATTTTATCAATTCAAAATGTACATTTTAATCTCTCTGTAATAGGAAAGTGTAAATGTTGGTATCTTACATGAGCTGCCAACCAGGTAATGCTCGTTACAGTTGGCCCTGCCTTTATACACTCAACAGCGGTTATACTTCTTTGTGCTGGCATTACTTGAATTAGTATATGCACTGCTAGTATAACTTGTGTAGAAAAAATTTTTGTGTATGCAGAAAGGCACAAAGAATAGGAGAGTATAAAATTGTTAGAGAAGCAAATATTCACTACTGAAGAACTTAACTTACTACAACTCTAAATGAGAAAGGGAAATAACCACAAAGTGGATGATGATACATAATAGCAAAATACTGACTTTCACACATCAAATAATATAGCTAAGACCAGGAATGACATATAACATAAAAATTCATGTCTAAATAGGTTTTTAAAAGGCTCTTTTAGTAAGTCTAAAACAAAAATTCTAAGTGAAATAAAAATATTGAATCATTGGCAACATATTTTCTGAGTACAGTAGTTTTTATAACTGATGTCATCTTTGATTCTACAAATTCAGTAATAATCCACAACTGAATATATAAAGTTTATAGATAATAGTATTTGAGGATGAATAACTATCACTAGCATTAAAAACATTCAAAACAGGAAAAATAAAAATTAAAGCATAAATTCAACAAGTCTAAAAGATGATTTGATACCAAATATTTGACCAAAAAAAATTATTAAACTCTTTATGTCACAAAAACAATTTCCTTTTTCTTAAAGAGGTATTTCCTAGGCTTGTGGTTCTTTTGAGCCCAACACTTGAAGTCTACTTCTATGATGATCACTATTTAATAAAAGTGAGTGACCACCAACAACCAGCACTCAGCTCAGTGTCTACTTTAAGCAGCAGATCTTCAATGTGAGCACAGATCTTAGGTAAGATCAAGTCAGAGAGCTCCAGCCCTAGATTTAACAAGTCTGACTTGTGAGTTACCAATATCCACCTGGTAAAGGTGGCTGCCTCCTGACCTACTCTCCTAGCCTACACACACTGTGACCTTACTGATCATGCACATAGAACTACTCAAGATAGACATCTTGTTTTGCTCTTACTATTGGCCATTCCCACTTAGTTCTTTTAGAGAGCTAGAGCCCCCACTTGGCAGAGGATTTCCCAATGCCAATGATTCATTTGCCTAGCTTTAGTGAGTACTGGAATACTATTCATTTGCAACTTTCCGTCTTTTTGTATGCCAGGCCAAGCACCTTCTAACTTACCAACTGAGGTGTGACCAACCTGTTGGAACATCTTTTCTGCCTACCAATCTGTACCTCTTATGGTCTAAGCTTCTCCTGCCAATGGTTGTTTCACCTCAGTGGTTGAATTTACTTCCAAATCTTCACCCTTCCCAACCATGTGCCTAACCATTAATTTATTCAACATTCCCACATAAGAAAATGCAATGAACAAAAATGTTTCTGCTCTTGTAAAGTTTCCGCAATTATAGGAGAATATAGACAATGAACAAAATAATGTTAGGCAAATAAATGTTGGAAAGGACAATAAAAAGGTGGCACACGCCTGTAATCCCAGCAACTTGGGAAGCTAAGGCAGGAGGATCTAGAGTTCAAAACTAGCTGCAGCAACCTAGTGAGGTCCTAAGCAACTCAGCGAGGCCCTGTCTCTAATAAAATATAAAATTTGGACTGGGGATGTGGCTTGGTGGTTAAGCACCCCTGGGTTCAATCCCTATTACCAAAAAAGAGAGAGAGAGAGGTGGGGGGGGGGATTAAAAAACTGACAGGGCAGCAGGGAAGTAGAAAACTTTTCTGATGAGATATGTGATCCGAAACTTGAATGAAATAAAGGAGTAAGCCACGCAGAAACCTGAGAAAAGAACATCCCAGGAAAAGAGAAAACCAAGTGCAAAGCCCCCGAGAGGGAGCATATGTAGAATATCAAAAACAGCCAGAAAGTCAGCGCTGCTGGAATTCCAGGACGACAAGGGGAGGAGATGAAGCTGAAGAAGTGAGGCCCAGATCACAAAGTGCCTCAGAGACATTGGTGAGAATTTTGGATTTGACTCTAGATTGTGATAGGAAGTCATTAGAAGAGTTTAATCATGGGACTAAGATGATCAGATGTTTTAAAAAGCCTGCTTTAAAGGCCCATCCTTATATGATTCCACTGATAACATTCTAGAAAATATAAAAATTATAGAAACTGAAAAACAGATAAATGAAGATGGAGTAAAGGATTCGCTACAAGAGAATTTGAAGAAGTGATGAGACTATCCTTGATCATGGTGATGGTCACACAACTGTATCCACTTGTCAGAATAATAGCCAGAGTAGCTTCTGTGGATGTTTTCTACTTTCTTCGAATTAAATTCACAGTTCACGGGTATATATATATATATATATATATATATATATATATATACATATATGTATGTGTGTGTGTGTGTGTGTGTGTTTACAGGGGGGAGAGTATGGCAAAAGGAGATCACTTAGGATGCTGACTATAACAATAATCAAAGCAAAGATGATGGCAGCTTAGGCTAAGACACTGACAGTCAAGTTGGTAAAATGTGTTTGGGTTGAAGATATAACACAAAAGCAGCGCCAAGAGATTTCACACAGTTCTTGTCTAACCCAGAGTAAGTCTCTCATAGGGGCAATGAAGTAATTTTTGACCCAGAACAAAAGTAGCTAAAACCAGTGTCAGATTTTGTAACAGCCTTCAGACAGAAAATCAGTTTCAAAAATTTGTAAACACTTTTTCAAAACCTGATTAATATTTATTTTTACTTTGTCCCAATATAAAATATTCATTATTTTCTGAGTAATTCATATCATACTAATTCAACTTTAGGTTTGCTTTATTGAATTTGCCTAAGGAAGAATATTCAACCAGCTGAAAAGAATAAAGTGCTTTGAATTTCTTCGAAAGCCTTCACATAACAATCAATATACAAATAGTATAAGCTTCCCTACTTAACAATACTTTCCTAGTCTTAAAAGCCTCTAGAGGGAGGCTGGGTATGGTAACGGGCACCTGTAATCCCAGTATCTTAGGAGTCTGAGGCAGGAAGATCACGAGTTCAAAGCCAGCCTCAGCAAAAATGAGTTACTAAGCAACACAGTGAGACCCCTGTCTCTAAATAAAATACAAAATAGGGCTGGGGATGTGGCTCAGTGGCCAAGTGCTCCTGAGTTCAATCCCCTGTACCTTAAAAAAAAAAAAGAAAAAAAAAAGCTTCTACAGGGGCTGGGGTTGTAGCCCAGCAGTAGAATGGGTAGAATGTGTGCCTAGCACATGTGAGGCATTGGGTTTGATCCTCAACACCACATAAAAATAAACATAAAATTAAGGCATGCTGTCCATATACAACCATCTATCTATCTATCTATCTATCTATCTATCTATCTAAAGTACTCTAGAATCAAACAACTTTAAAATTCAAGCTGGCAAATTCTTCAGTGGTTTGAAAGTTGCAGGGCTCCTGTTACCAAAAGTCTGCAAAATCATCAATGAAAGTCCACAAAAGTGGTTCAAAAGCATACAGAAATTATTCTTTACCCATAATGTAGCCTGAAGACACAAACAAAAATGCCCAAATTTTAAATATTTTTAATTAAAAAGGGGGGAAAAAATCCAACATTTGTGTATATAGGTTAGTATCTAAAATTTTCAAAACATACAATCCATAAACGAACCCCAAAACAAATAAGGTTCTTGATGAGGCCAGTATATTACAATCAGGGAACCCAAGGTACAGAAAGGTTCAATCATCAGTCCCTAGTTATGCATTTAGTTAGTGGCAAAGACAGGGTCATAGGCCACATGTCCATGAAAACAGAAAGTGCTTATAGACAGCCGGAAGTGTCTTTCTCAACTTTTTGGTACATAAGGTAACCTAGCACAATCTCATGAAGTAACTATCTGATGGGTGAAAATAACATCAGTGAACTTTTTTTGTTTTGTTTTTGTGTTGTTGAGGAATCAAACCCATGGCCTTGCACTTTATAGGCAAGTGCACTACCACTGAGCTACATCCCCAGGCAAAAAATGAACTTTAATGTACAATTCAAAAATTCCATAAATTCAAACTTAAATGTTCTCAAAATTATTCTGAATCAACTGGGACTAACATTAACCAAAGCAATAACTAAATTAAACCAAATTATACAAAGTCTTGGCATTTAGTCAAAATCTTAGCAAATATTCAAGACATTTACAGAACTGTATATAAGAAAGCAAAAACCTAAAGAAAAAAGGGCAAAGAAAGAGTTTGGGAAATCTGCTGTGTGTAAGAAAATATATCTTAAAGAAAAGAGAGGTATAGGGGCTGGGGAAAAAACAGTGGAAAAACGCTTGCCTAGCACTTGTGAGGCACTGGGTTCAATTCTCAGCACCACATAAAAACAAATAAATAAAATAAAGGTATTGTGTCCATCTACAACTAAAAATATATTTGTATATATTTTAAAAAAAAGAAAAGAGAGGTATAGAATAGGGGTAGATAATAAACAAAATTAACTCATCTAAGTAGCTGCAGGTTTAATATCACTTATCCAAAAACTTAAGGAGCAAAAGTGTTTCAGACTTCGGAGTATATGCATAAAATTTAACTGATAAACATCCTTAATCCAGAAACCAAAATTTAAAGACTCCAAAATCTGAAATTTTTGAAAATCATGCCAGCACTCAAAAGGCTTTGAATTTTAAAACCTTTTGAATTTTACATTTTTGAATTAGGGAATGCTCAACCCACACCAAGTATCTTGTAAAACAGTGTTTCTAAAAATGAGGGTCTGAAATTAATTCAATGAGTCATGTTTAGCATTCTTAAAATCTTTTGGTCAGAGAATAGAAAATTTCAGGTGGTGAAAAATACTGTTTATAAAACTTGTGTCAGTGATTTATATATACACATAGTTTGTACTAGGTCACACAAAGTATTTTCTACTGTAGATAGTCATCAAAAGTTTGAAAGGCTATGTCACAGAAAATAAAATATGAGTTTACCATTTTTTTGGCATGTTCTTCACACAGAGGTGTCTGGTGTGTAATGTCAAAAACTGGCACAGAGCATTGCTGTCCATCTGCAAACTTGGCGGTGCAACTGGAGAAGAGCTGCTGAGAGCGGTTCAAGAGGATATCTGCATTTTTTAAAGTTAGGAATAAAATACTCTTAAATGCTAACTTTTCAATATCTATATAATTCACTGCTTCCCTTACTTATGTTTAATAAATATGAATTTTATTATCTGTAAAAACCTAAAGTACAAATCCAAATACTGATATGGTAAAATGTTAATAGTTGGATTGACCTTCATTATTTATAGGAGATACTTCTGAAGGAAGCCATTTTGCTAATAAGCTCCTAGTGCAAGTCTCTTTTATGGCCATTCTGAACCACTTTATGTTATTTGGAGAAGGATCATCTTCTTAACACATTTCACTCCTAAAATTTCCACTGTAACAACTATTTTTTTAAATAAACTTATTTTAAAAGAAAAAACTTTCTGCTTATGATATTTATCAAGAATAAAAATAGCTGGGCGTGGGGGCGCACACCTATAAGCTCACTGGCTTGGGAGTATGAGGCAGGAAGATCAAGAGTTCAAAACCAGCTTCAGCAAAAGCAAGGCACTAAGAAACTCAGTGAGACCCTGTCTCTAAACAGAAAACAAAAAAGGGCAAGGGATGTGGCTCAGTGGTTAAGTGCCCCTGGATTCACTCCCCAGTACGCACCCCCCAAAAAAGCTACTCAGTTCTAAATATTTAATAAAAGAGCTAATAAGATTTTATCTACAGTCTAAAGCTCCCTGGAAAATTTTTTCCTTAAGTATATAATCCTAAGAGACCTTTTTGCCTAGTCAGTGATATGTTAACTTATTTCCTTTCAAATTATTCTCCAAAACAGCAAATTAACCTTATAGCATCAGGCACACTGTAAAGCTGTATAACTATCTTGGAAGACTAAAAACTAAAACTTTGATTTAATTTTTCCATCAATAATTGTTATATAGTTACTCCTTATGAGCTACCTGGAACCACCTGTAGGATCGGAATTCTATTAATAACATATAATTACATGTTAGCCACTAGGAGATCCTATTTGCTATCAGTTTGGCTTATTTTGTTGTTATTTGGTCCTCTTGACTTTGATCCAGATTCTGAACTTAAGACAATTAGAAACTGAATCTCAATTTTGTCTAAAAGATAAGAATAGTACAATTTTATGCACTTGTGATTCCTACCTTTCCCAGCTCAGTGTCATGAGAATAAAATGTGTGTGTGTGTTGGGGGGCGGGAGGCGGGGCTGAACTAATATAAGCAGAAAAAAATTGTAAGATTTTAGGAAAATTAGAAGTCACTTAATAATTTCAAAAATTAAATAGTTACTATTTCAAAAGTCATTCACTTGATTTAAAAATGAAGCACAGTAATCATCTGCAGCAGAGCACCTGTCTAAAAATGCAGGAGACTCTGGGTTCAATCCCCTGTACCAAGGGACAAAAGGTACACAGCTCCAAGTGAGTTAAAACTTTTCCATGCACACTTGATCAAGTTAGAAGGATACGTTGGAAACAATGTCTGGTGAATGGAAGGGCTTTGTTAGTGCACTGCTCCCCCTTCATGGTTCCACTGCATGCTGCTGGTTCCACCTCCCTCAACTTGGTCCGGCTTATACTGAGGAAGAAAAAATACAAAATTAGTTTTTAAAGCACACGCTTAAGAATCTAATGCAGTTTTTCTATATTATGTCGGTACTCTGTAATATTCACATTATAACTATCTATAATACCCACAGTCATTAACTTGCAAATATGAGTTAAAGCAAGTACTATAAATACCAAATATGTTATTTCCCAAATCTACTGATATTCAAAGCAAAAAGTTTTATCACAATAGTTTTCAAATATATGGTCTTTTTGTTTTTTGGTACCGGGGATTGAACTCAGGGGCACTTGGCCAGTAAGCCACCTCCCCATCCCTATTTTCTATTTTATTTAGAGACAACATCTCACTGAGTTGCTTAGCACCTCGCTTCTGTTGAAACTGGCTCTGAACTTGCAATCCTCCTGCCTCAGCCTCCTGAGCCACTGGGATTATAGCCATCTGCAGCTGGCCCTTGTTTTTGTTTTTAAATGATATTTGATACCTTTTACTTTTCAAAAAGGTAATGGAGAAAAGTGATGAAGAACATGAGACTAGAATCAGACCCTGTTCCCAATTTCATCTCTACCTCTTACTAGCTGTGTGACAGTTAATAAGCCTCTGTTAAGAAACAACTTCCTCACTTGGAAAGGGAAGAGACAACAAGGTCCCCTCAGCTGGCAGGTGTGTTGTGAACATGGTTGTCAGTCACTGTTATCATTATCTTACTAGAATGTGGTCACCTTATGCTGCTAAATGATAAATATGCAAAACAAAACAAAACAAAAAACCCCTTGATCATAGCCAGGCACAGTGGTGCACACCTATAATCCCACTGGCTTGGGAGGCAGAGGTGGGAGGATCGAAAGCTCAAGGCCAGCCTCAGCAACTTAGTGAGACCTTGTCTTAAAATAAAAAAATAAAAAGGGGTGGGAATGTAACTAAGTAGTTCAATCCCTGGTAGCAATTTAAAAAAAAAAATAATTAATTAAATTAAAAGGACTGGGGAAGCAGCTCAGGGTAAAGCCCCTTTTAATCCTCAATACCAAAACCCAAAAAATAAAAATTAACTTGCTCTTATATATATAGCAAAGGGAACACTAAGATGCAGTGACTGAGCTACTCTCAAGCCCTAAAACATACTCATTTTGGACAAATTTTAAAATTTTGCATTATGTGTAACTCCGGGTTTCAACACTTAAATGCTGTTTCCACTTTTTTCATTTAATATATATATATATTTTTTTTATTGTTGGTTGTTCAAAACATTACATAGTTTCATTTAATATTTAATATATTTAACTTACTTTTAGATTTTATGAACCGGCAATGTATGCATATGGTTCCAAAAATAATAATTCTACAAAACATCACAAATTGTTAGGCCTTTACACATGCCTGAATATGGAGGGAAAATCTTAATAAACTGACTCACAAACCAGGCATGAAAATCAAAGAAATCCTGTGTTGTTTCTAGTATCTATAAGGATCTCAATAAAATGATTTATACTAAGTAGATAAAGTCATACAGAATCTAAACTATGAATTTACATAATGTTCAAATAAAAAATACTTCTATTATAATTATAGAAACAGTTAATGGAAATAGATAATCAAGCCCTGCCATAGAACTTGCTTTAATTAAGAGTTCTACAAGATTTATCAAGATTACAAGGATGAAGAAGAGGGTCATTTCAGAAGTAAACCATTTATTCCTAATAGTTTTATATACTGCCCCCCAAAAGGTGTTTACATTATTAACTTTAGTCCTGTAAAAAAGATACATAATTTGAAATAAATATTTTTGGCAGCTAAGCCCAAATTCTCTTTCTCTTTATTTAAATAGAAGGTACCTCTCTATACTGAAGGGATAATTTTCATTGAACACACAAATTATTTACCTATCTACCACCCCTACTATACAACATATTCCCTCATTTTCTTTCTAAACTTTCAAAGAAACCATCTGTTTCATTTTTTTCAATCACCTAATGTTCCAATTTATTGATCTCTTAAAATGAATCTGAACTCAGAATTTCAATATCCCCATGGATAGATTAAGGTTAAAATTATGTTAGATATATTTTATTACTCAAATAATCCCAACAAAGCAAAGAGAATTACTAAAACATTTTGATGTTTTTAATATAAAAATATCTACAAGTTGCCTTTTTGCATGCTCTATAGTATCCCTAATAAACAATCATGCTCCCACATAAACAATGCCATACAAACACAAGACACCAACAACACTCGTCAGTGTAGGACTATACACCACCAGAGTCAAATACACGTCTATGTACTTTAGGCTATTTCAGTGGCTTAGTCTGCTTATCAAAAAGAATGAAAAAGCTGTTAGATTAACACCTTAATATTATTCAGCTTATATACAAACTATATTTTATAAGATACATATTAGAAGGCAATCATTAAAGTTTCAGTTTCTAAAATATTTATCTAAATGTCTTCTGTGGAACTAGGACTTTGATACCAAAATTATCAAATAAATAGAGAATATCATGTAACTAAAACTAATTTTTGTGAACCTAAAATACAATGTACCAGTAATAAGCAATAACCAAAGAACAACTATGACACATTGCTATATGATCATCAGTAGTTTACTGCAATGGGCAATAAACTTTTCATTAATCAAGAGTGACATAATGAAATGATATCGAATAAATTTTAAAATAGTAATAGAATCCATCTTGGTGTGTTATTTTATTATTTGGTGACATTTATCATTTTCTTCCCATATCACTAAAGTCAGTTTGGAGGATGTTCTGAAAACAACCAGTTAATAATCATAGAAAAAGCTGACAGTGTAGCTCAGTGGTAGAGTACTTGCCTAGCAAGTACAAGGTCCTTGGTTTTGATCTCCAGCAGAAGGAAGGATGGAATGAAGGAAGAAAGGGAGGGAGGGAGGGAGGGAGATGGACATAGATAAAACAGTCTTCCACATAAATACCAAATTGTCCCAATCTCAATGTGTAAACTCTTACATCTCTGACAATATCATAACAATATGTGACTTGATGTATATAATATTTATATATAAATTGTATTATGCTGCATATAGCTACACTTTCTTGAAATTATACACTTGAGAGCAATATACCATCTAAAACATTTGATATCATTATTTTACAATCTCTGTCAAACTGAGTGAATTGTTTTAACAAATAAACAGACCTTCATATATTCAATAATATTCATTCTTTGAACAACACTGGAGATACAAGAACTAAATGGACCTTCATCCTGCACTCATGGAAATTACTGTCTAGCATGAGAGATTTATTCAAGTAACTCATAAATCACTATTAAAAAATTAGAACAAATATTTTTTCTTCACTTTATCAATAACCCACCAGTTAGAGACATTTCAATATTCAAACTCCTAATCTTTTTCTACACATATATACTCAAAGTTGTCATCTGAAAATGTAACACTGAGAAGTGTGAAATAGCAAACTCAATAAAGACTTAGGTCTCCTAGACTTTAAAAGAATCCTTTTTTAAAATAAATTTTTAGTTGTAGACAGGACAATACCTTTGTTTATTTATTTATTTTTATTTTTATGTAGTACTGAGGATTGAACAACAATGACAACCAGGTGCAGTGGCACATGCCTATAATTCCAGTAGCTCAGGAGGCTGAGGCAGGAGGACCACAAGTTCAAAACCAGCCTCAGCAACTTATCAAGAGCCTGTCTCAAAATAAACATTAAAAAAAGGATGTGGGTCAGTGGTTAAACACCCCTGGGTTCAATTCCTGGTAACAATTAAAAAAAAAAAAAAAGAAAAGAAAAAAAAAGATGAGTGGAAAAGAAGAATAATGTTTACAGTGCTTATTCAGTTATATCAATGGAGCTATGGAGATTTCCCCCTTCTTTTTTCTGTATTTTTCCAAATTTTGCTCAATAAACAAGCATCTGCATTACAAACAGAAGAGCTGTTTCTTCCCCCTAAAGAAATGCAATGTAATAAAATATGTTGAACATGTTGGGCAAAGCATACTCAGGAGATTAAGACAGAAGGATCACAAGTTTGAGGCCAACTTGGGCAACTTAGATCCTGTCTCAAAATAAAAAGTAGGAACGATCTGAGGATGTAGCTCAATGGTGGAGCACCCCTGGGTTCAATTCCCAGTACCACTAAAACATAATGAGTGAGGGCTGGGGTTGTAGCTCAGTGGTAGAGTAACTTGCCTCGAATGTGTGAGGCACTGAGTTCAATCATCAGCACCACATAAAAAAATAAACAACAACAACAATGAGTGAATGAATGAAAGAAAACTGAACACATACTAGGTGGGGTAGTTATATGAAATACATGGAAAAGAAAAATCTTAAATAATACAAGCAAAAAAACATGTCCTTTTAATAAAACACATTTTTCTTTTGTTACTAAAAAAACTATATTACTTTCAAATAACATGAAATTTTTTAGCACTAAAACAGATAATACTCTCAACCTTCTAAAAATAAACTGTAATTAAATTCCAGCCAAAACTTCAGTAATGCTTTTACTATCATATCAGTACATGGCAGTACTATTCTGTCACCTGTGTGGTGCTTTTTTCCGGAACAACAAAACCAAAATGCAGTCTCAAATATTTTAGGTTTAAATGGTCATTGTGCCTTAACCACCCTCTCCAAAAATACAGAAAACAAAATACAAACTGAGACAAGTTCCTTAGAACAAGTGGCTCTGTGTGGCTCTAACCTGGTTCGAGTGCATGCTGCTCTCCGAAGTTCTTGTATTAACTGACCAGTACATTCCGGTTCTTTACTGGCTGCCTGCAGCAATGCTTTCCTAAATGTATGACGGCATTTCTTTTGACGAGATTCTGCCCTTTCCAGGCGGCAGAGGTGCTTGTATTTCTGCTGAAAGTAAGTGCAAAGTTGGGTCACCCTGGAGCTCCTACTCTCCGCATCATCGTCATCTGGCCTGGAAAGTGCAAGGAGAGAAGTAAAAAACCAATTACACATTAAGCTCATTTTAGAAAGGGGAAATGAGAATAAGGAAAGGGGGCTAATGAACAGGGGTAAAACCTTGGTGGCAAGTGAGTAAGTGGTTAAGAAAATTAGAGCATGAGATTTCAATAGAACTGAAAATTATATTTCAACTCAACACAAGGCAGCAGAGACAATCCAGGGCTTTAAGACGCTTACCCTTCTTAGCATGTCATCATTAGACACATAATGCCCAGGACTTTCTGAATTTTAAATGAATAGGGACTCACAGAGAAAACCACTTATTTACCTTTACTTACTAAAAACTGAATAAATGACAGCACAACTCAATAAAAGATAGATCAGTCATATCAGAAATAGAGCAGTGAATTCTAATAGTACATTACCTAGGAACTGCCCTTTTAAGACATTCTGGTTTTTAACTACCTTTTCTTGCTAAGTACTTAAAGAATTCTGAGGCCAGGCATCCTGATGCACACCTGCAATCCCAGTAACTTGAGAGGTTGAAGTAAAAGGATTCCAAGTTTGAGGCCAGCCTGGTCAACTTAGCCAGACACCTTGTCTCAGAATAAAAAGGCTAGGAATCGGGGGCTGGGGATATATATAGTGCATTTGGTAAAGTGCTTGCCTCGAACACACAAGGCCTTGGGTTCAATCACCAGCAACAACAACAACAACACCAGAGACAAAACACACATTTTCTCATCATATACTAATGTGATTGAAAGGTGATCCCTACTGAAGTATTATTTGGAAAGGACGCTGAGCACATCTAGGCTTAATAAGAAACAGTGCTATGATTAGTTAACATTGTCTACCATCAGCAAGGTTAAACTGTTCACTTTATTTATTGTTAGGAATAATACACAAGACCTAAAGACTAACCTGTTATTTTATTTCTCTTCTATCTTAACATAAATGCCATCATACATGTGACGCCATAGACTATATATTATCTTACTAATCTGTAAATCATTGCTTGGTTTCTCTTGTTTAAAGTGGTATTATCCTCCCCCCCCCACCCCCCCAATGACATGTAACAGGCTATTCTTCAAACTTCTGTTAGGAGTCTTTTCTTGAAGCATGTCCTCTTCACTACAACTTCTACTACAGATAGATAAACTGAAGATTTTACTTCAATCTTATCACTTATTCAACATTTATTGTGTGTCTATTATGTTGAGTACTATAGAAGAGAAAATAAAGTTTTGAAGAAGAGCCTGCAATGTAATTCAGACAAGATAACACATTCCAAAGTTAAATAATTCAAGAGGCTAAAAGTGATGATGCAAACAGCAAGGCACACAGATCAACAATTCAAATATTTGAAAACAAATTAGAAAAACCTAGGAGCATCTTAAAACTTCAGATTCCCAAGACCTACACTGATTAACTAAACCAGAATCTCCATGGGGCAGGCCCAAGAATCTTTTATTTAAAATTGTTCCCCAGAATCTCATAGCAGATCTATATTTGGGGTTCAGGTAGGGCCAGTAAGTGCTACAAACACCTTTAATACAAGATAAATAACAGTTAAGTCCATGAGAAATACGGATAATGTGCTACAAAAGTTCACAAGAAAGAGTGCTGCAGGAAAGGCCCTGAAGAAGAGCTAACAACAGAGCTGGATCTTGAAGACAGGGTAGAAGTTAAAGATGTGGAGAAAAGGAAAAAAGGCTCATCAATAAGGATAAACACTTTAAGCCAAGGTACAGAGACAACTGAAAACTGTAGTACTAAGGAGCTTGGTTTGGCTAAGGTATAGGACGTGCTGGGAAGTGATGGTTGGTAAAATTTTATAAATCTAAATGCCAGATGAAAGAGTTTAACCTTTATTTCACAGACAATGAAGAATCTATGTAAATTTTTTAAAAATGGGTATCAATATAATAGAGATGTGCATGAGAAAGATTACAGTGCTAGCAGATACAGAAAAAGCAGAGGAAGAAACAGAAGAGAGCAATTAGAAAACTATTAGCAAACTCCAGGTAAGAGATAATAAGGGCAGCAGCATGGAGAACGTGAGTGGTAATATGTGAGCAGAAAAGACAAACTGGGAAAGGAAGCCAGCTGTTCCTATCAGGGCTAGGGAAGGACAGTAGTACCATTTATGAAATAAGGAACTGGATCAATAGCAAATTTGGAGAAGAAAATGAATCCTATTTCAGATAAAAGGAAAAAAGGAACTTTGGGGTGCTAGGGATAAGGGCCTTACACATGCTTGGCAAGTGCTCTATGACTAAGCTACACCATCAGTCCACTGAGGTAAAAAGCACAAATTTCAGAGTCAACAACAAACAACTCAAAGACTGGGGAATGATGAAAATAAGAGACAAGACAGATAACAGAAAGAAAAACACACATAAGGGCCATTATCAGAAAAGAATTAACTTAATTTGGCAACTGGATATGAAGAATAAGAAACTTAAGGGTGACTTAATGACTATGAATCTGCATAACAGAGAATGGAAGGGCAATTGGTAAAAAAGAAAGAAAAAGAAAGGGCTGATAGGGGTCTTCCAGGGAAGGCAAAGCTTGGGTAGATCATCACTCAACACAACAGTTATTTCAAAGACACTATTACTTGAGGAAAGATGGGCTAAATCAGTGCCCCTCCAGTTCATTGTGGAAAGATGCACTAGATGTTGAGGCATGTTATGTGATTATAAAGAAGCTTCAAAAGCTTACTCATAATTTCCATTCTTATCTTGTCACACACCAGTAACAAACAGTTTGTATACTGACACAGGTCCACAGACCATTGCCAGCAGCTCCAAGATGCTTCCCATTAATATGACATTAATATGGCAAGCCTGGTTGCTAAGAAGAGCAGTGAGTGAATTGGGAAGAGAGAGGCCAGTTTCCCCTGAGTGAACTTTTCTCATCTATGAGAGACATAGCTGGCCTGCTTATCTCCAAATGTGAAGAAAATAAAATTATATCTGTAAAGTCACAATATAAGTACAGTTATTATTAATATTGAAACATTATCAGTAAAAACCAAACACACACCAACAAATTCCAAACTTGACATTCTGAGACTCCGGGCTTATCCATAATCACAAGAATTGACAGAAAATTCTCCAAACAAAATTAACTTTATTAAGACAACAGCAGCAAAATGGTAACATTGCTGATTAAAAAAAAAAACAAAACAGGGGAATCAAAAAGAGAAACTGGTAAGAAAAATATATAGTAAATAAAACGATGAATTTAACTGTAGAAATGCTGAATTTAAGGTATTAACAGAATATTTGTTGAGAAATATCCAACAGGTAGTTCAAACTCAAAAGAACAGTCAGATATATTTGGGAGACTTGGCAGGCGGATCACTAGAACCCAGAGGTTCAAGACAAGCCTATGTAACAGCAAGAACCTATCTCAAAAGAACTTGTTTTTGAATTTAAGAAAAAACAATGGTCAGACATGAGAAAAAGATCTGAGTCATTCATATAGAAATAACAGGTGAAACAATGGAAGAATGGTACACTTATGGCAGTTAGGAACTCTTAGGAACTTGCCACTCTAAAGCACCTATATACTAGGTGCTTTATGGATGCATTGTTGCTCTGAAAGGAAGTGCTTGATCAAAAAAACGAAGAAATCATAAATAGAAAAAGTTCAGAACTGAAGCTAAACTTGTAGGTAAGGCGAAAAGAGGGTTTGAAATGGGCTTCTTTGAGAGTGCATGCTGATATCAACTCTCATCCCTACAAGATCAAGTGGTTGAACTTGACTGAGAATCCATAAGGCCAGGACCTACCAAATCAAAAATTATCATGCCAAAGAAGATATAAGCCATCCTGCATGACAAAAAGAAAAAACAACAAATGAGATTTACAAGGGCATCAAAGGTTGGAATTATGAATATAAAACTGTTATGTATGAGATGTTTAAAGTATGAATTTTATGAAGAAAGAAATATAAAAGAAAAATAGGAATGGCCAAACAAGATTGAAAATAAATGGAAACCCTATAAATAAAAAAAATTTAAGTCAAAAATACATAAATACTTTGCTCCAAATAAAGAAAACAAGGCATGAAGCCTGGTGGCATACACTTGTAATCCCAACCACTCTGGAGACTGAGTCAGGAGGATCACAAGCTGAAGGCTATCATCAAACACTTAGCAAGACCTTGAAAAAAAAAATTTTTTTTAAAGGGCTGGTTTTGTAAGTCAGTGGAAGAGAGCCCGCCTGGCACTGCTCAAAGACCTGGGTTCATTCCCCAGTGCAAATAAATAAATAAACAAACAACAAACAAACAAATAAGTGGCAAGCAATCATATCTATCTTCACTACTTCTATTCAACACTTGGCTGAAGATCTTAGTACAGTAAGGCCAGAAGTAGCAATAAAAGGCTTAAAGATCAAAAGGGTGAAAGTGAAATTGTCCATATTTATAAATGACATGATTGTTTGCAAGGAAAGTAATAGATTTTATAAAAAAAAAAAATCTGAATAAGTAAATTTATTAAAATTGTAGTATATATTGACAACTGCAGGTCACTTAACAACTAGCAAATACTGTCATTAAATACTAGTAAAAAATTTCAAGATAAGTTTAATAAAATATATAACAATAAAGATTTTAAGTGACCTAAAGTGGTATCCCACATTCATGGATTGGAAGATATAACACTGTTAAAACATCAATTCTCTTCAAATTGATTTATGATAAAAACCACAATTACAATTTTATCAAAAATGATAATTTCATTCAAGAATTCCTATAGGAATGCAAGTATCTAAACTAGTCAAAATAACTGTGAAAAAGGACAAAATTGTATAATTCAAGTCACTGAATTTCTAGACTTACTCTAGAACCACATTAATTAAGATATTAAATATAGAAGTGACCTAAAAAGGGCTGGGGTTGTGGCTCAGTGGTAGAGCGCTCACCTAGCATGTGAGAGACCCTGGGTTCGATCCTCAGCACCACATAAAAATAAATAAACAAAATAAATATATTGTGTCCATGATAACTAAAAAAAAATTTTAAAAAGCCAGGTTAATACACCAATATATGGTCCATTATTTCACAAAAAAGTACCAAAAAACATGAATAAAAAAATGAAGATTTTTCATCAAATATGCTAGAATAACTAGATACCCATAAAAGAATGAATCTTGACTCCAACCATACCACCATATGAAAATAAGTAAGACAGGTTATATATCTAAATTTTTATGCTAAAGATAGAACTATGAAGTTCTTAAATACAACAGAGGAGAAAATCTTGAATGGTCATAAACATTTAAAAATGGTATGCAGAATGTACACACCATTTTTTTATGGTATGTACATTCTTTTTTATTTTTTTAAAATAAAAAAAATAAAAAGAAATGCAATAAACTTGACTTATTTAATATTAAAAACTGGTACTAATCAAAAGATACCATTAAAAAAATAAAAAGGCAAGTAGCAGACTAAAGGAAAACAATCTCAACCATATATATAACAAAAAGAAATATCCAAAATATATAACAAAAAAATACGTTAAGAAGGAGGCAGGGCTGGGGATGTGGTAGAATGTGATAGAATGCTTGCCTATTAACCACAAGGCCCTGGGTTTGATCCCAGGCACTACCAAGAGGCTTGAAAATATACTTCCCCAAAAATTATTTTTGAATGTCCAATAAGTACATGAAATGGTAAAAAATCATCAGTTATTGGGGAAATACAAAGTAAAATGACAGTGACAATGAGATATCATTTCATATCTCATTAGAATACTAAGGGTGAGGGGCATAATTCAGTGGTGGGATGCTTGCCTGGCATTATGAGGTTCTAGGTTTGATCCACAGCACTGCAAAAAAAGAGAGAGGAAAAAAAAAAATAAAGTAGTAAGAGCTTGAAAGTATTCCCCACATTTTTGTGTCGGAACTTGATCCCCAAAGCCAAGGTGCTACGATGTGAAGCAAATAAGAGGTGACTATGTAGTTAAGGGGGATTAATGCCCTTCTCACAAGGATGGATTAATTTTTGCTAAATTGGATTAGTTACTTGGAAAGTGGGCTGTTATAAAGCAAGATCAGCCTTGTGTTTGGTCTCCCCTACAAAAGCCTACTTGCTCTTTTACTTTCCAACTACGTTATGATGCAGCACAAGGACCTCACTAAAAGCCAAGCAGATGCCACCACCATGCTCTTGGAATTCCCAGCTTCCAGAACAAAAATCCAAAAACCTGTATGCATTGAAAATCATCCAATTTCAGGTATTCTGTTATAGCAACAGAAAAAAAATTTTAAAAGACAAATACATAAAACTTTAAAAAGACTGACACCACCAAATGTTGGAGAGGATATTGAGCAATAAGAATTCGCATACATTACTAATGGGAGTATAAAATGGTACAAACACTTTAGAAAATGGTTATGGTTAAGACTTCTTGTGAAATTAAGTACCTATATGGTGTAAGCTTGAGAAGAATGTATATTTTACAATTCAAAGACAAAAACAGGTTGAAAACAAAGAGATGGAAAAAAATATATGTGAAATAGTAACCATAAAAAGAGCTAGAATAGCCATATTATCATAAAACAAAATATACTTCAAAACAAAAAAGTTTATTTTTAAAATGATTAAAGTATCAGCACATAAGGAAAACACAGTATTATAAACACACATGTAACTAATGGAGTCCCAAAATAAAAACTGACAGAACTGAAGGGAAAAATCAATAATTCCACAATAACATGGGGACTTCAATACTCCACTCGTTATAATAGAAAATCATCAAGGAAATAAAATAATCAGATAATCTCTAAGGCCCGCTGGTCATGGGGGAGCACATCTGTAATCCTAGCTAGTCAGGAAGCTGAGGGGGAAAATCCCAAGTTCAAATCTGGCCTTGGCAACTTAGACCCTGTCTCAAAAAAAAAAAATAAAATAAAAAAGGACCAAGGACATAGCTCAGTAGTAGAGCTCCCCTGGGTTCAATCCCCAGTACCAATAAAAAAAAAAAAAAAAGGAAGAAATCTCCAAGGTCCCTTTCAATTCTAAACTCTATTACAAATTCTAAATTCTATGACTAATTCACCAAGAAAACTTAAGATTAGCTTTGCTCAAATAATATGGTACATTTCTTTCCAAATGATAACTACTTTACCTCCATTATATCAAAACTAGATCCAATAAGAGAAAAATATTAGTACAAAATCTATCTGCTACAATGGTGCTTAAAAAATTAAAATAAAAGCAAAAAAGAAGGCTTACGTGTGTCTTTCATATCTGAGGGTTTCTCGGATAGACCATGCAACCTGGTATGGTGAAGCCTGTTCTGAGTCCTCCAGTTCCTCTCCGCTTTCTTCAGACCAGTCCAACCCTGTGGCAGACAGAGGATATTCAAGTTAGAAAAAAATTTACTTTGACTAAAAACTTAGATCTAAAAAATAGATATCCAAAATACATAAGCCAACACCAGCAAGTACTATCATAGTGTTGAACAAATGCCTCCAGTATTTCTATCACTACAAAGGCATTAATAATAAATATATGATATATGCTCAGGTTTTGAAAAAATGACATTATAACAAAAAATCTATGCTATATTAAGGATGGACTTTTAATAGGCTCTTTACTAATGGAGTCGACACAACAGAAGCAAAGATATAGAGTTCAGGACACATAAAAGGTAAAATTTTTAAGTATCAAAATATCATACACTAAAACAGTATCAGAAAAACATATTCAAGAGGGTTAAGAAAAGAAGTCCTATGTATGTAATGTTCTAGCAAGAAAAAAGTCAAAAGGTGGTAATGGAGTCACCTTCAACAAAGAAAGGCCCTGGAATAAACTATCAAAGGCAGACACACTCCATCTTTCCCCCAATACATGTGGAGGAAAGGAAAGGGTTCCAAGGATTAGGCACGGCACTCCCATGGGAAAAGCAAAGGGTGGGATACCGATGTTCAATTAAATGAAGTTTGGGCCTTCTTTCAATTCCTTTAAACAAGAGCTTCCACATTTTGTGCTTCATTTGCTAAAACAAGTTTAGAGGAGATAAAACGTAGAAACATGGTATCAATGATGCTTAACTGTTTTGTTAAATGCTATAATTTTTAATGACAGGATAACTATTAGCTTCTGACATAAAGGTTTTCCCCGTTTAAAAGTTTATATTCTGAAGATGTCTTGACAAATAGATGTTGCATAGCCTAAAGAATAACTGAGTGTGTGGGATCATGCAATTTCAATATACTCATGCCACTATGAAAGTTATTAGACATCTTGATTTTATGTCTTCCTACATGAGAACTTCAAAAATCAAAAGAGCATTCTCATTAGACAGTTATATTTAAAAGGATCTCATGGACTTCTTTCATAGTTTAAATGAGTTTACATGTGCCAAATAGAGAAATTAAGAAATGGATAATTGAAATGCAAATTATAAATGCTTAAAATTAAATTACATACTGCCACTGGTAAAAGAAACTTCAAATCTAGTTCCAAGATGACCCTTTATGGTGTCAGGTCACCTTAAAATGTGAGTACTTACTACTAAGTGCAAGAATCAAAATTTGTAGGGAAAAAAAGAAAAAGAAACAATTAAGTGATGATAACAACACCAATGTCAGTGAGGTCTTTCAAAGTGATACTTAAGGCACCTTTAAAAAAACAGAATATGAAGGCTGGATCAGGAGGACTTAAAGTTGGAGTTTAGCCTGAGCAACTTAACAAACCTTAAGAAATTTAGCAAGACCCTGTTTCAAAATAAAATGGGCTGAAAATGTGGCTCAGAAGTTAAGTGTCCGGTTCAATTTCCAGTACCAAACACAAAACACAATATGATCTATCTTTTGTTGACAGAAGTAATGATATTTTCTACTAAGACACCTACACTTCCTCTGAAAAAGTCAAGACCTGAGTTGTGTTTTTCCTGCTGAGAAATTAACTATCCAATACAGCAAACCTTTGATCTTAGGTTATCGCCAGTTTTAATATTAACTAACTGATATGACCAGCCCAGACAGAACTATAAAAGCTAATTAGAAGACTAAATTTTTCTTTAAGCACTCTTTGCTGACATAAACAAAGACTATGTTTGGTTCTAAGATTACATTACAATTTCTCTAAAATAAACTTTGCTGTAAATGACTTTAAATTTAAAAAAATAAAATAAAAAGGCTGAATTTTGGGGCTGTGGTTGTAGCTTAATGATAGAGTGCTCACCTACCACCTGTGAGGCACTGGGTTCCATACTCAGCACCACATTAAAAAATAAATTAAACAAAAGTCCATTGTGTCCATCTACAACTAAAAAACATTTTTTTTAAAAAAAAGGCTGATTTTTTTTGTAAGTTCATTCAAAATTAATAGCCCCCAACATAAAATTCCAGTTTCAAAAGCTGAAGAATTTTCAACATCCACAAATGAATGAAATTATAAATTAAAATGTAGTGGACGAGGGGCTGGGGTTGTGGCTCAGTGGTACAGCGCTTGCTTGGCACATGTGAGGCACTGGGTTCGATCTTCAGCACCACATAAAAACAAATAAATAAAAGAAATGTATTTTAAAAATAAATAAAATGTAGTGGATACTACAGACTGAGTCTCATTGAGTTGCTTTATGTCTGGAAGTTGCTGAAGCTGGCTTTGAACTCTTGATCCTCCCGCCTCGGCCTCCTGAGCTGCTGGGATTACAGGCAAGCGCCACCATGCCTGGCTAAACCAATTTTTAAATTTTTTTGTAATTGTAGATGGACAGAATGCCTTTATTCCATTTGTTAATTCTTACCTGATGCTAAGGATTGAACCCAGTGCCTCACACATGCTAAGTGGCCTTTCCACTGAGCTACAGCCCCAGCCCTAAACCAAAGGATTTTAATGTAACAATATGAAAAATTCCTGTATACAGTTTCAGATTCCACATTGCAACTACCACTTACAAATTTCAGGGAAGAATCAAAGGACAATGACCACAATTACTTTAAAAAGGCTATTAAAGTACTCCAACTTTTCCATCTACGTAAAAGTCAGACCATATTTTCCTAAAACCATATATCATGACATATTAAATATAGAAACAGGCATGAGAATCCACCTTCCTTCTAGTAAATCAGACATCAAAATATGCATAACAATGCAAAATAACACTCTATCTTGTTATATTTGTTTTGGAAGTTATTTACCATATTATATGGCGAATTTATTTTGTTATTTTTGAATGAATCATTAATATTTTTAAACTTTTCCATTTCAACTAACATAGTAAGTATCAATAGAAATAACATATACAAAAGTTTTATGGTGCCTTCAATTTACTTATTTATTTATTTTTAAGCTACTGGGGCTTGAACCCACAGGGACTGAGCTACATCCCTAGTTCTTTTTATTTTTTTGAGACAGGGCATCCCTAAGTTGCTAAGACTGGCCTCTTGCCTCAATCTCCTGAGTTGATGGGGTTGCAGGTGTGCACCACCATGCCCAGTTATCCTCAATAATTTTTTAAGTGTAAAAGCCTCTAAAGGCCCAAACTTGAAAAATACTGATCTAAGATGTGAAAATTAAAGCAGATTTTCTATTAAATTTGCAAAGGCAAAAATAATAAGATCCAGGGCTGATAAAGATGTAGACATAACTAATTCAAATGTAGTACTGAAAGAAGAGTAAACTGACAAAGTAATTCAAGGAAAATTTAGCAACACATATCAAAAACTTTGTTTTTGGTGCTAGGGATTGATCCTAGGGGCTCATATATGCTAAGTATGCACTGTACCATTAAGCTATATATGTAATCCACCAAAAACATTTTTATAAAAATATAAATTCCACTTCTAAGAATCTATTTGAAGAAAAAAATTAAAGATGTAATTATTTTGGGGCAAGGCTCTACAAGAGTATAATGATATAAACTGGAAATGACTTAAAATTGAAGATAGAATTCAGCTATGACAAGTTATTTCATATAAAAATTAACTTGAAAATACATAAAATTTTTTAAAAGTTATAAATCAGCATGTATAGTAGGAACAAATTTATACGTTTGAGAAAGTATTAATCAATGAGTATTAGGGTTTGAGGTATTTTACTTTGTTCTTTTGGCTTATCTATATTTTAAAAATTGTTTTTTGGTGTGTTATGTGGGAGGGGCAGCGGTCCTGGGGCTTGAACCCAGAAAGTGCTTTACCACTGAGCCACATCTCCAGCCCTTTTTATTTTTTGAGAGAGGGTCTCGCTAAGTGGCTTAAGGCTTTGGTAAGTTGCTAAGGCAGACTGGCCTGGAATTTGCAATCCTCCTGTAACAACTTTCCGAGTCACAGGTGGGTGCCACCACACCCAGCTAAGAGTTTCATTAAGTATTTTAATTATCAAAAGTTGGTGTTTTTTATTTGTTTGTTTGTTACCAGGGAGTGAGCCCAGAGGTGCTTAACCATTGAGCCACATCCCAGCACTTTTTGTACTTTGATTTTGAGACAGGGTCTCACTAAGTTTCTGAGGCTGGCTTTGAACGTGTGATCCTCCTTCCTCAGCCTTCTGAGCCACTAGGATTACAGACCTGTGCCACCACCCCTGGCTAACACTGTGTTAACAATATGTGAAACAATATAAGCTACACAAGAAAAGCTACCACTCCCTTTTCCCATAAAACATATCCTGCCCAATTCCAGTCTCCCTGTAAGAGCCAATGTTAACAGCCCAGAAGCATATATCCTTTTACACTTTCTCCTATCTATGCAAACAAATAGGCAAATATCTATCCACATACTTAATCAATAAATATAATGATGTACTTTGTTTTTGTAAAAATAAACAAAGCACATGAACAGAGTAACAAAGAACATCTCTTGATTTTTTTTCCACCTGATAAATCCTGGGCACATCCTGGTCAAAACATACACATTTCATTCAATTCTTTTAAATAGCTGCTTATTTAACACATGTGTGTACAATAATTTATCAAGGTTTCCTGTCAGTGACTCAAGATATTTACAGATTTTTAATGTTGTAAGCAAAGCTGTAATAACCATTTTCACACACAGATTATTAGATAGGACATGTTATTCATAGAGTAGAGACCAGTGATGGTCTGAATATGAATTGTCCCCTGAAAAGCTCACGTTAGGAAATGCAGCAATGTTAAGAGGTGAAGACAGGATTTTGAAAGCTATAACCTCATTAGTGGATTAATCCATTTGATGGAATAATGATCTGAATGGATTACTGGGTAGTAACTATAGGCCAGTGGGGCACTGCTTAAGCATGTAGGTCACTGGGGCATGCCCTTGGGAACTGTATCTAGTCCCTAGCTCTCCCTCTCTGCTTCCTGGCTACCATGTAGTGACAGCTTTCCTCTACCATGCCCTTTCTGCCATGATGCTCTGCCTCATTTCAGGCCCAGAGCAATAAAGTTAGCTGACCATGAACTGAACCTCTGAATCCCTGACCCCAAAATAAACTTTTCCTCCTGTAAATTTTTCTTGTCAGGTACTGTGGTCACAGTGATGAAAAGCTAACTAATACAAGTCCCAAAAGGGAATTTGTTGGCTATCAATAATTGTGTGTGTGTATATTTTTTTTAATATTTATTTTTTAGGTGTAGATGGACACAACACAACGCCTTTATTTTTATGTGGTGCTGAGGGTCGACCCCAGGTCCTGCCCATGCTAGGCGAGCGCTCTACCACTGAGCCACAATCCCAGCCCCAATATATATTTTTAAAGGTATTCTACACTACTCATCAACAAAGTATGAGATACAGGCAGGGTGCAGTGGCACATGCCTGTAATCCCAATGACTTGGGAGGCTGAGGTAGGAGGATTGCAAGTTAAAAGCCAGCCTCAGAAATTTAGCAATTTAGCAAGACCCTGTCTCAAAATAAAAAATAAGGGCTAGGGCTGGGGTTCAGCGGTAGCACACTTGCCTGGCATGTGTGAGGCACTGGGTTCGATTCTCAGCACCATGTAAAATAAATAAAGGTCTATCAACAACAACAAAAAAATAAATAAATAAATAAATAAATAAAAGGGCTGGGAATATGGCTCAGTGGTAAAATGCCCCTGGATTCAATCCCCAGTACCAAAAAAAAAGTATGACACAATACCCTTAGCAACATTGAGTATAATTTTTGTCAATCTGGTAATTCATTGTTTTAATTTATATTACCCTGCCTCCAATGGGGATTTTTGTTTGTTTATTGACCATTAATATTTGTTCTTCTATTCATATCCTTTGTTCATATTTTTACTGCTACCCACATCATGCAAAAGAATTTTTCCTGAAGTTAGAATAATAGTTCATATCACATTCAATAAGGTTTAAATAATCAAAAACAAATAAACCCAACTATTAATAGTAAATACAAAAAAACCTTTAAATTAGAAAAAAAAGTTTTATCTGTATTTTTCTCACTTTCCAACCATACACAGGTATTATCTTGTGAATTTTTTTTTAAATGAAGCTTTGTGGTATTTTTTCCCCCTGCTATTGGCAAATATTAGCAATGCTATTGTTATTCTAAAATCCTACAATAAGACACAGAGAGTTCTGATAATCCCAGCAACTCAGGAGGTTGAGGCAGAGGAGCACTTGGGCCCAGGAGTTTGAGGCCAGCCTGGGCAACACAGAAACACTCATCTCCTCAAGCTTAAAAAGAAGCATCCAGAGCATCACTCTGTACAGGTAGGTATTCTAGCCCTATCATTTATGTGGTAGCTGTGACAGAATGTGTTTATCTATACATATATGATATGGTAAAACCAAAAACTCACCTAAGTGGGGAAACAGATCAGTATCCAACTGATGTTTTTGTGTGCACAGTTTCACCAGTCTCTGCAGCTGACTTATACAAGAGAAGTGTGGAGAGAAGGCTGTGGCTTTCATAAGGACCCGGTCAGTCCTGGGGGGGTCCACGATGGGAGCCCTACTGGATGGCAGGAGGGGCAGAGGCCTCTTGTGAGACAACTGCCTTGCTTGTGCTATAGTGTGTGTGGTGGGGGCCACTCCCTGCATTGGTAGGCTGGTGTTCTGAGGTTGAGGTGACTTGCAGACAGAACCCTGCGGCGGCGCTGGAGGTTTTAAAGTGGATAAAGGTGACAGGTGGGAGTGCTGCTGCGGAGGCTGCTGGGAAGGTGTAGGAGGGGGACTAAAGTGCTCTTGTCGAACTTTTAAAATCTCTGTCTCTCTCTGGCGCTGCCGATTCTGGGCCAATTTGCTCTGCAACTTCTTTCTCACAGTTGCCCCTTTCTTCAGATCATCATCTTCCTCGTTGAAAGCAAATGGGTCTTCCAACTCAGTTTCCAGGTAGTGGAGAGGGACCCTTGCCCCAGGTGGAGAGAGGGACATTCCATCCAGTCCGTTGGGCATCTTCAAGGCCAGCGTGGGTACTGTCAAGCTAAAGGCCATGGTATCCATCTGGTGCCTGACTTTCACCTCATCTATAGGATCATTCTTTTTCTTCCTCTCTTTTTTCGGGATAAAGCCAAGTACCTGCAAGTGGCTGTTGCAGTACCTTTAAAAGTATATGGGAAAATGTGCATGAAACATATGAAGAATATAAAAATTACATATTATACAATGTGAATCCTATAGGTTAAAAATTTCATGACTATAGTAACTCTTGGCCCTCATTGATTTAATACATAACTTCCACAATTCTCAAGCATTCCTCAAAGTCTGCATGATTCTGCTGAGGCAAATATGCAAACTGAACATGAGCAGAGTTGGCCAGACAGAGGCAAGTCAGTCATCTAGTGAGGGCCCTGATAACAACTAGACCACTGCTTATCACATGATTTGTTGTTCTTTATTCAGAACATACAAAGTAACTCATTCAGAGTCTGAAGGATCATTTAAAATTCTTTTATGGAGAAAAATATATATTCCAATACCATTTAAGTATTTACTTTAGGAGATTCACAGAGAAGCATCCAGATGCTTATGTCATAACTCTCAAGAATATGAAGGGTTTAAGGGTTCACTGTGTGCTTTATACAGAGAGAGACACAGAGAGAAGAACATGAGAACAGAATAAGAGAAAAAAACTGGTTAATGGAATTGTAAGTGGAATGAATCTCTCAATAAAAAAATATAAGAACTTGGACTATCTCCTCTAATATCAGTAGGCACGAATATAATGCACTTCATACAGATTAGGAAACTAAGCTTCATGAACTTGCCCAAACCATTTTCCATTTGGAAAGTGACATATTTGAGACTTGAACTAAAAATCAAAGCTCATGTCTCATTCGTCTTCAACAATGAGCAGGCTATCTTTGCAAGGTAAATGTCATTTTTAAGACATTAAAAGAATAAAACATAAAATTAAAAATATATATATTAGGAAAGGATAGAGTCCTGTTACATAATGAGAAAGTACTCATGGAGGCTTTTAATCAATAGAATATTTCACCTCTAAACTCACATTATTCATACAGTTTCACTTACGAATATTTACTCAGTATATTTACTTAGTATACATAAAAACAGTATTCCATGCTTAAGAAACTTTGAAAAATGCTGGCTTAAACAAAATTAGACATTGATTTTGTTGTTGCTTGTTTCTTCTGAAATTTTTCTCAAAACGTTTTGTATAATATGCACTATGAAGTTCCAAAAGGGATGGGTACCCATCTGGCAGTGTTTCTCCAAGTTATCTGAGAGCTTGCTTGGAGGTTCTAGCAGGGGACTGCAGCTACTTGTGTATCTTTAACAAAGGTTGTCCTCTTTGACCAAGCATGAAGTCTTAAGTTATTTGAAAATGGAACCTATTCTTTTGACATACAGATGATACCTCCAAGTCCAACTAGCAGATTTGTGCTAGGTACCATATATACCTTAAATAAAAGAGATTCATAAAGCTGTAGCCAGCACCAGGCATGGTAGTGCACACCTGTAATCCCAGAGACTTGGGAGGAGGCAAGAAGATCCCAAGTTCAAAGCCAGCCTCAGTTACTTAGTGAGATCCTGTCTCTAAATAAAAAATAAAAAGAGCTAGGGATATGGATCAGTGGTAATGCACTCCTCGTTATTAAAAAAAAAAGAAAAGAAAAAGGCTGTAGCCAGCAAGGAAAGGAATATTAGGAAAACTATATTAACCAAAAAGTGAAAAACAATAAAACAATTTAGTAAAACTTAAAACAGTAGGGAGGGGCGCAGGTAGGTACAGTGATGCATGCCTGTAATCCCAGTGGCTCAGGAGGCTGAGGCAGGAGGACTTCCAGGTCAAAGCCAGCTTTACCAACTTAGCAAGGCCCTAAGTAACTCAGTGAGACCCTGTCTCTAAATAAAATACTTAAAAAAAAAAAAAAAATGACGGGGGGGGGGTTGGTATGGTTCTATGGTTAAGTGCCCCTGGGTTCAATACCTGGTACCAAAAAAAAAAAAAAATTTAAATAGGGGTTTGGGGCTGTAGCTCAGTGGTAAAGCACTTGCCCAGCACCACATAAAAATAAATAAATAAAATAAAGGTACTGAGTCCATCTACAATTAAAAAATATATACCTAAAAAAATTTAATTTGGGGGACAGAGGAGGAGGAGACCAGCGGGAAGTGCTCTACCGCTGAGCCACAACCCCAACCCTTAATTAGGATTTAACTACATATATTTAATTAACATATCCTTCACTATCTTTCATGCATATATTTAAAAACACCCAAATTATTATAAATTTTAACAGTTATTTCCTATAGTTTCTTTCGCTAGGCAGATGGATAAAACTAAGTAGAAAAGACAGGAATACTTTATAAGGACACAAACCAAGTAAACTAGTACCAAGAAGCCAAGCAGCAATTTTCAGGGGAAATAATTTTTAAAAGTCTATGAAATGAATAAAAAAAGAAAAGACTTGCACATATTTTTAAAATAATCCCTCAAACTTACTACTCTGTTTAAAAGAAATTTCAATCTTTTAAGAAGTATTCCCAAGTTTACTTGGATTCCCCCAGAACTCAACATTTAAATTCACCACACATAAAGAGGGAGAAAGGAAAAAAGAGAAGACAGAAGACAAGGAGGCAAGTTTACCCTTGAAATCAAGGACTGACTGCTTACCTACGATCCTCTGATTTGGGGATGGGGTTGGTGCAGCGCTGGCTGTTGTACTTGGCCACATATTCACATTGCTTGAAGGGGGCAGTCTTGTCCTCCAGAACGTGTCTGATACAGAAAGCGTAGCCGTTGAGACGCCGCTGCTTGCACAGTTTGGGGCTATACGAGCACAAGGGCTTATTGTCAACCTCAGAGAAGTGTATATGTTTCCCTTCATACATCACGTGACTCTATTCCTTGTGAACATCAGCTAAAGGGCCACCACAAAAAAAGAAACCCAAATGATAAATCAGAGATCACAAGGTAGATTTAAATTGAGAATTTTACTGAGGAACTTTGGCCTCACAGCCATACCTGATTTTAAATCTTCTGCACCATAGCAATGTTAAGAAAACCCCAAGGATACCACAGTTTGGAACGCTGCTGAATCGAGATGAAGCAGACTGTCTATAAAAACATCAAAAGCCTAATTAACAAGTAGAAATAAGCAAAGCTAGTTCATCCAGGTTATAAAATATGCCATTATCACCCTTCCTAATGTAATAGATTCTTCCTTATTCTCCAACTCTCATTAATGCGGTCAAATAGGGAAAAAAAAAAAAGACATTATAAAATATGCTATCCTATCTCTCAAAATGGAACTAAATAACATTTACTCAGGTTAAGTTTTGCGAATACCTTAAAGCAGAACTCCTCCACCAAATGAACTGTCACCAGTACAGGTCTTTTTACAGGTGTTTATGTACTTGTATTTTTAGAAAACCAAATCCCTTTACTGAGCCAATGGAATAAACTATAGACCTAAAACCTCTCTCAGAAATTCTACATTTTTTCTTTTCTTTTTCTTTCTTCTTTTTTTTTTTAATTTTTAGTTGTAGATAGACACAGTATCTTTATTTTATTTATTTATTTTTATGTGGTGCTGAGGATCGAACCCAGTGCCTCTCATATGCTGGGTAAGCACGCTACCATGGAGCCACAGCCAGTTCCTACCTTTTTTCTTATGTTGACTAAATATTTGCCAATTTGTAACAAATGTTTATGAAACATAAAAATAGAGCAAATAAAATATAAAATAGGGAGGAGGAATGGGGATAATCTTGTCAAAAGGAACCCAAATACTACATATAATTATAATGCTCTAATAAAAAGTAAAATTTTTTAAAAATGTTATTTTCCTTCTAATACTCCACCACACTATAACATCTAAACTCTAAGCTTTTTCAGCACAAAGCCTAGTCATCCAACCACACTTATATCATTCAGCACTCCACCCCACCTGTGCTTCTAATCACTGGAAGTAGGATAATAATCATTGCTTAAGCCTTCTGAGATTCCATTAGAAAATGGAAGGGAATTTTACAATACTGACTACCTTTCTATATCCAAAAGACCTGTCTTTGCCTATACCCTTCTGCCCCCAAAAGGGTAGCTATTACATAACCCCATAGGAGTCCACAACAATGAAACTCAAATCTATTTTGCAAAGTCAGTGTCTCTGAGAGCTGATGCAGTCCAACCCATCCTCCCAAAGCTGATGGAACAGCTTAGATACCAGCTACAGGAACACTTGGGGAAATACCCTTTCATTCAGAATCTGAACATGGAGCTAGGGTGCAACTCAGTGGTAAAGTGTATGTTCTTATCATGTGCAAAGCCCTGGTTTCAACCCTTAGTGCTAAAAAAATAAAAACAAAAGAAAAGAGGTTGAATGAAACATTCCTTATACCAGCAAATAACAAGAAACATAAATACTTGAGAAGATGCAGTCGTTCCAGCCCCAAATCTAACACTTACTGTGTTATCTTGAACAAATCATTTAACCTCTCTGAATCTCAGTTTTCTCATCTGTAAAATAGGGATAATAGGAGATGTTATCATTGTTGTTCTAAGGATCCAATGATACAAAGCATGTAACAGTAAGGATCATGCCTAGCACATGGTAAGTGCTGGATAAATTTATTATTCACAAATGTTAATTCTTTTTTAAGAAACATTTTAAAAATATTTTTTTAGTTGTAGATGAACACAATACCTTTATTTTATTTGTTTTCATTTTTATATGGTGCCAAGGATCGAATCCAGTGCCTCACGCATGATAGGCAAGTGCTCTACTAAGCCACAACCCCGGCCCATAAATGTTAATTCTTATATTACTAATTTCACCTACTAGTGATAATGGTAGCGTATTTGTATTCTCCTTAAGAAACATTTCGATAACTTTAATAGATTAAAAAAACATGAAATATTAATAAATCACTCAAATTACTAAGTAATCTAATAACATCAATATAAAACAAAAATTAGAGCTTTTCCTTTCCACCTTATTGGGATGCAAGAATTGGACTACAAATTCATTTAGCTTTCCTAAAGGTCTGAATAGTTAGGACAGGAAATATGTCAAAGCAACCCAGGCAGTTTTTCATTCTTATACTCTCTTAAACTACTCATCTACCTGGCAAAGTCTTTCACAAATTAGTCCACGTAAGTGTGTATGAACTTCAGTGAAAAAAATACCCTGGGTACAATTAAGCTTAAAAAGTTATATACAGTTCCTTAGCCCATTTATTGATTGGGTTGTTTTGTTTTTTGGTGTTTTCTAGTTCTTTATATATCCTGGAGATTAATGCTCTATCTGAGGTGCATGTGCTAAAGATTTTGTCCCATTCTGCTGGCTCTCTTCATGTTATTGATTGTTTCCTTTGCTGAGAAGCAGCTTTTTAGTTTGAAGCTGTCCCATTTATTGATTCTTGATTTTACTTCTTGCACTTTAGGAGACTTGTTAAAGAAGTCAAATCCTAAGCCAACATGGTGAAGATTTGGGCCTATTTTTTCTTCTTAGGCACAGGGTTTCTGTTGCCTAAGTCTTTGATCCACTTTGAGTTTTGTGCAGGGTGAGAGATGGGGTTTTAGTTTCATTTTGTTACAGGTGGATTTCCAATTTTCCCAGCACTATTTATTGAATAGGCTAGTTTTTCTCTACTAAATGTTTTTGGCACCTCTGTCTAGCACGAGATAGCTGTATTTATGTGGGTTTGTCTCTCTGTCTTCTATTTTGTACTACTGGTCTACATGTCTGTTTTGGTGCCAATACCATGCCATTTTTGTTACTATGGCTCTGTAGTATAGTTTAAGGTCTGATATTGTGATGCCTCCTTCTTCACTCTACTGTCATGTATAATTAATTAAAACAAATAAAAAACTTTTTTAAAAAAAGTCATTTACAGAATCTGTTTGATTACCTTTATAGAAAAAAAAAAAAGAAAGAAAAAGAAGGCTGGGATTGTAGCTCTGTGGTAGAGCGCTTGTCTGGCGCTCATGAGACCCTGGGTCGATCCTTGGCACCACATAAAAATAAATAAACAAAATAAAGATATTGTATCATCTACAACTAAAAAAATAATTTTACAAAAAGAAATAAACCTGTGTGTTGGTATGTAGAAGAATATTTTACAAATCACATAAGTCTAAGGGCAAGAATGGAGGGATATGAAAGGCAATGCTTACATTTTACTATGAAATTTCCTAGTTATGCAATCAAAATTGAGGATTTCGGGCTGGGGATGTGGCTCAGTGGTAGAGCGTTCGCCTGGCATGCATGAGGCAGTGGGTTCGATTCTCAGCACCACATAAAAATAAAAATAAAGATATTTAAAAAAAAAGAATTTAAATCAATGGATGTGTAATTGATGTGATTCTGCAATCTGTATATGGGCTAAAAATGGGAGTTCATAACCCACTTGAAGCAAAGTGTGAAAGATGATATATCAAGAACTATGTAATGTTTTGAACAACCAACAATAAAAAAAATTAAAAAATAAAAAAAAGAATTTTAAAAAAATTGAGGATTTCACTTTTCTTTCCAGTTTTTTAAGCATATATTCTCCCATAACTCAATTGGCTAGAACCACCAGAAAAAATGTTAAGCAATAATAGCAAAGCTGTGCATAATGTCACACACCTGTGATCCCAGGTACTCTGGAGGCTGAGGCAGAAAAAATTACAAGTTTGAGGCCAGCCTCAGGAAATTAGTGAGACTCTGTCACAAACTAAAAAAATAAAAGAGTCAGGGATGTAGCTCAATGATAGAGCATCACTGGGTTTAATGCCCAGTACAACAAATAATAATCATGATGATGATAATAATGACGACAGTGGCAGCAACACTGTTAACTCCTAAATTTAAATAACTGCTTCATTAGAAATAATGTTAATTTGCATCACATCACAACACATATTCCATATTTGTAGTTCCATGGGAAAGTGTATGCTTAGCACATGCTAGGCCCTGGGTCAATCTCAAGCACCAAACAAAGAAAAGAAAAAAAGTAAACCACAGAGGCTGCAGTTGTGGTTCAGCGGTACAGCACTTGTCTCGCACATGTGAGGCTCTGGGTTCGATCTTCAGCACCACATAAAAATAAAGATATTGTGTCCATTTACAACTAAAAATATATTAAAAAAAAAAAAAGCAACCCACAATTCCTATTGTTTGTTTATTTATTGGTGCTGGGGATTGAACCCAGGGCCTTGTGCATGCACAGCAAGCACTCTGCCAGCTGAGTTACATCCCCAAGCCCAACAATTCCTATCTTACTAAGAATAGGTTTTTGAGCTGGGCATGGTGAAAAATACCTGTAACCCCAGCAATTTGGGAGACTGAGGCAGGATCTTCACAAGTTGGAGACCAGCCTCTGTCAATTATCAAGACCCTCAGCAATTTAAAAAGATACTCTCAAAATAAAAAAAATAGCAAGTCAGGGGGATGTAGCTCAGAGGTTAAGTGACCCAAGTTCAATCCCTAGTATAAAAAAAAAGGGGGAGACCAGAAATGTAATTCATTGGTAAAGCACCCCTGGGTTAAGACCCCAATACTGTCAAGTTTCTTAGTTTGTGTTTTATTTGGAAGAGTTGAATCAAAAATCTCCTACTATAATCTAACTTCTATTTTTCCTTATCTTTTTGTCTTAAAAATTTTAATGGTGAGCTGGGTATGGTGGCGCACACCTGTAATCCCAGCGACTCTGGAGGCAGAGGCAGGAAGATGCTGAAGCCAGAATCAGCAAGGCCCAAAGCAACTTAGTAAAAGTTGATGGTTAATTTAACCAATTTTTTCATCACCTAGGGAAATCTTATTTCCTGTTTACACTTTTAAAATTATGGTGTTTAACACCTCCATATAAGAAAAATATAAGAAAAGCCAACTTGGTTATCATACATTATTTATTCTTTTAATGTGCTGTTGAATGACACCAATATCTAGGATTTGGTTTTTTTTTTGTTTTTTTTTTTTTTACTTTTTGTTTATCTTTTTTTTTTGGTAATCAGGGATTGAACCCAGGGGTGCTAACCACTGAGCCACATCCCCAGTCCTTTTTATTTTGAGACAGATTCTCACTAAGGTGCTTAGGGACTCACTAGTTTGCTGAGACTGGCCTCAAACTTTTGATCCTCTTGCCTCAGTCTTCCAAATTGCTGGGATTATAAGCAAGTGCCTCTATGCCCAGCAAGATTTTTGTATTTTGAGAATGGTATAGTTTTCTTCTGTGTGTTTTGGCAGATTTGGTATCAATATAATGTTGTAAAAAGTAATTTACAAAACAATTTTTTATTTTCCTATGTTCTTTTTTCTATGTGCGTGTACACACAAGTTGTGTTGGGGATCTAACCCAGGGCCTCCCGCAAGCTAGGCAGAGCTCTACCACTGAGCTTACACCTCCATCCCTCTTTTTCTGTTCTTTAAGAATGTAAAAAGCATTTCAGTTATCTATGTTCCTTGGGTTGCTTGAGCCTAATAGTGCTCTTCTGTTTTCAATTTATCTGTATCCAGTTGAGCAGAGTAAACTTTTTACATTTAATTTTCTAAATATCCATGTCCTATTGTACTTTCACATACAATGTGATATTTTTTTCTCCCTTTGTTCATGATGAGCTTTAGTTTATCTGCTTAATATTTTTATCAACACTGTCTACCAAAAATAAAAAAACATCTTAAGAGTTATTAGCACTCTCATTTATCTACTTCCTAAATTTCTGCTTTTATCTCTGCTAATACCATCCTTCCACTTTCTTCCAATTATTTTATTCTACTTCTTGGATTGAATTTTCATTCTTTTCCAGCTTAATATTCTATTTACATCTATGAATTTTCCTTTGAGTACAGCTTTAACTATATATCCCATAGATATTAATACACAGAATTTTGACTATCAGCACATTCTACCATTTGGTTTAATTTTTTATTTTTCCTTTGACCCAAGAGTTAATCTTTTTCAGGGCTGGGGTTGTGGCTCAGTGGTAGAATGCTTGCTTAGCATGCATGAGGCACTGGGTTTGATCCCCAGCACCACATAAAAAAACTAAATAAATAAAATAAAGGTGTTGTGTTCATCTACAACTAAAAATATTCTTCTTAAAAAAAGAGGTTTTTTTTTTCAAATGGAAAATTTTTGTACTTTTCTGTTTTAATTCTAGAAAAGAAATAGGATCATAATCTACATATATCTTTGCTTCTTATATTAACTAAATTTCTTTTTGGAGGCCTAAAGGGTGTGTGAAAAAAAAAATAATTGTTTTCATGGTATGTTGTTTGTTATACCATTTATGATGTTATTAACCTCATGTGTCATATCCTATGTCATAACCTATTCTCTATTATTGTTCTATCAAGGACTGGAAGAGTTGAATCAAAAATCCCCTACTATAATCTAACTTCTATTTTTCCCTTATCTTTTTGTCTTAAAAATTTTAATGGTGAGCTGGGTATGATGGCATACACCTGTAATCCCAGCGACTCTGGAGGCAGAGGCAGGAAGGTGCCAAAGCCAGCCTCAGCAAGGCCCAAAACAACTTAGTAAAAAATTAAAAGGGGTGGGGATGTGGCTCAGTGGTAAAGTGCCTCTGAGTTCAATCTCCAGTACAAAAAAATAAGGAAGGGAGGAAGGGAAGGATTGGAGTAGAGTATGTTTAACATACAAGAAAGGAATGGGGGGAACGGGAAAAAGAGGGAGGGAGGGGGGAAGAAATAGCAGGGCTGGGGATATACTTCAGTGATAAGAGTCTGGCATGCACAAAGGCCCTGGGTTCAATCCCTAGATCTGCAAAAAGAAAAACAAAAGTAACTCAATCAATTCTCTGTGTTGAGTTCAATGTGGCTTGCCAAGTTAAATCTCTGCACATACTTTGCTCTCAACTTTTCTCAGACACTGTTTAAGATCGTAAATCAGAAAACCTATGGTTTAGAGGACAAATTTGAAACACTGCCTGTTTTTGTAAATAAAATTTTACTGAATACAGCCATGCTCATTCACTTAAATACTGTCCATGTCTGCTTCGGGGGTTATCATAAGCTGAGCAGATGTGACAGACATCACAGAGCCACAGGCCGAAAATACTAAAGTATTATTTACTGTTTTGTTGTTGTTGTTGTTTATTTTTTGCAGTGCTAGGGATCAAACCCAGGATCTCATGCATGCTAGACATATGCTCTACCACTGAGCTACACCCTCAGCCTTATTCCTGGCTATTTGGGGGGGAGGGGGGTTGTACTGGAGATTGAACCCAGTACACTCTACCACTAAACTATATCCCAGTCCACAGCCCTTTCTACTTTTTTAGTTTGAGACAGGATCTCACTAAATTCCCCGGGCTAGCCTTGAATCTGGGACCTCCTAGCCTTGCTGGGACCACACCTGGCTTTATCAACTATTAAATACTCTTTTATTAGGTTTGACTTTTGCTTCAGTTTACTTATATGACAGATATTTCATCTCAATTAATTATATTTCTTTGTACTGTTTGTAAATTTTAATTCATTACATATTCCACCATATAGCTGTTTTCTTGGAAGATTTATAGTCTCTCCATTAGAAGACATTTCTTGATTTCACACAAATAACTGTATGTATCAGCATTATTGCTGAAAATTATTATTAAAAATATTTTAATTGAACAAGGTACTGTGGTGCACATGTGTAATCCTAGCAGCTCAGGAGGCTGAGGCAGGTGGATCACAAGTCCAAGGCCAACCTCAGCAATTTAGTGAGACCATGGGCACTTAAGTGAGATCCTGGCTCAAAATAAAAAGGGCTAGGGATGTAGCTTAGTAGCAAAACACTTATACCACTGAGCTACTTCCACATCCCTTTTCACTTTTTATTTTAAGACAGTGTCTCACTAAATTACCCAGCCTGGCGATGAACTCAACAATTCTGCCTCAACCTTCTGAACAGCCACGATTATAGGAGTGTATGCCCAGCCTCCTTCATTTATTGTGTTGACATCCTCGATGGTATCAATTATTGGTATGCTAGATGCACTATATTCCTTATCTATCATTGTCTCTAAAGTCTTTAATTTTTTCTTTTTTGATTTCTTAAATTTCTCAAGCTTGCCTCCATTATCTATTGCTTTGAAAGTTAACATTCATTTGTATAAATAACCATGCTTTTCTCTTTATTCTGTACACTGGTTTCATCAGCTCACTCTTATCTCTTTTCTTTCAGTTGTTATTGTTTTTCTTGAACTTTAAAATCTCATCTTTAAATTCTAATTTCAGAGGAGCCATGCCTCACCACTACTCCACCCCATCTCCTCCCACTGGAACTACTTGATCACAATTTTCACCTACTCTGCTGTTTTTGAAAAAGTTTCCCCCCCAGTCCTGGGGGTGGAACTGAAGGCCAAGCAAGTCAAGCATGCCAAGCAGGTTCTTACCACTGAGTTGCGTCCCCAGCCCCTCGTTTTTGAAAATTTTTATCACTGTTCTCTGGAGGTTCTAACTCCTTGCTGGACTACTTTCCCAAGCCCATAAGTATCCACTTGGCATAGATTTGAAAGGGATGATTCTTTAGCCTTGATTCCTTTTTAGTTGATAAACATGAGCAGATGTTGAGTTTCCTTGCTAACAATTTCTGCCCCTATTTTTTTGGGGGGACAGGGAGGAGCATTACTAGGGATTGAACCCAGGTACACTACCTCTGAGCTACATCCCCACCCCTTTTTTTGAGAGAAGATCTTGCTAAATTGCCTGTGCTGTCTTGGAACTTGCAGTTCTCCTGCCTCAGCCTCTTGAATCCCTGGCATTCTAGGTATGCGCCATTATGCTCCATCCATTTTGAACTTGCAAAAATGGTAGGACTGCAGTTTATAATTCTGCCCCACCTCCTGGGCCACTTGGGGAGCCCAATACATGCCCTACTTTGTCATTCCACGCAAGAAGTTATTGCCCTCAGGGTGTGTCACCTACTTGGGAGAAAGCTGCTCCCCTCACCAACCTGATTCTAAAGAGGAAATCATTCTTTCTTAGCATCTTGTCTTGATTTAATTTTCTCTGCACCTAAGGACATCTAATGTTCACATATTCTGATTATGAGCTTATGGTAGTCATTCCAGATTTGAGTTTCTTTTCTCTAATTCTATTTCTATTATTTTGTGGTTGGTTTAGAGAGGAAAAAGAGATGTAAGTACTGTACCATCATTAACCAGATGTATTTACATTGTAAAACATAACAGTAAAATCAAAATCATAAAACTTACAAACTTTCTCATAATTCTGAATTTTTTTAATTAAAGAACTTGCTAAATTCGTGTCATTTTCCCTTTAAAGGCGAAAAGTATTTATTTATTAGACACTTAGGAAAAGTTTTTCATTTTCTCAATAGTTGTGAATGCCATAATGCAAGACATACTTTTTGTCCTTAGAAAATTATAATCTATAAAATGAGACACATTAAAAAGAAAGGGAATGAAAGAAAATCCTTGGAAAACTTGGAATGGAACCACCATTTGACCCAGTTGCTACACTCCTCGGCATATACCCAAAGACTTAAAGCCAGAAAGAAAAAATAATATATATATATATACATATATACATATGTGTATATATATATATATATACATATGTATATATGTATGTGTATATATATATATATGGCCACATCAATGTTTATAGCAGCTCAATTCACAATAGTTAGTGCCCTTCAACAACAGATAAAGAAAATGTGGTATGTATACACAACAGAATATTACTCAGCCATAAAAAGAATGAAATTATGCCATTTGCCAGTAAATGGATGGAACTGGAGACTATCATGCTATGTGAAATAAGATACGCTACGTGAAATAAGACAATCCCAAAAGACTAAAGGCTGAATGTTCTCTCTATATGCGGATGCTAACACACAATAAATAAGGAGGGTGCAGCAGAACAGAAGTTCATTGGATTAGATGATGGGAAGGGAGGGAGGATAGGAAAAGAAAAGAGAGTAGAATGAATCGAACATAACTTCTATGTTCATATAGGACTACACAACCAATGAAACTCCACATCATGTAAAACCACAAGAAGGTATACTTCATATATGTATAATACATCAAAATACATTCTACTGTCATGTATACCTAAAAAGAACACATTTTTTAAAAGAAAAAAAAAGAAAGAAAGAAAGGGAGCAGATAATTGGGAAACCTTTATTCAGAGCTCTAGACACCTCAGGTTCCTCTACTCTCACCAAGCTTATAAACAGAATGTTGCATCTGCCCATATAAATGGTCCTCTTCCCTCTTTATCTTCTACTTAGTGCTCCCTCCTATGGTCAACCCTGGTATAATCCTTAAGAAGACACATACAGACCCCACAAAGCTCAACCAGAAACATGAGTTAGTTAAATGCTCTTCTGAGGTACTGCCTCTATTTCCCCGTTTCTACATTCATCAAGTCCTACTGTGCCTGTTGACTTCTGTCCTAGAAAATAAACTCCTAAAAGAACCAACAGTTTTCTGTGCATCATTATATTCCTCGGTCTACCCTGGTACCCAGAAATTAGTAGATGTTCAATAAGTACATGTTGAATGAAGAGATTTTGTAAGAGTAATTCTTAATTCCAGATTATGTATTCAAAGTTCACGACATTCACCCACTTATCATTAAATAATTCTTAAAAACCAGTAAATTGAGCCAGAAGCAATGGTGCCTGCCTGTAGTTCCAGCGACTCAGGAGGCTGAGGCAGGAGGATCACAAGTTGGGAGGTAGCCTGATCCTATCTCAAAATAAAACGAATGGAAAAGCCTTTCTACTGTCATGTATAACTGATTAGAACTCATACATTTTTTTTACAAAAAAGTAAAAAATAAGTGAATAAATAATACAAAGGGCTGGGGATGTGGCTCTGTGATAAAGCACACCTGGGTTCAATGCCCTGAACCAAAAACAAAAATCCTCTACTAAATCGGTACTTTTGTCTACAGAATTATTTCTAGGAGCCATAGTCAGATATCATGACAAAGTCAGTATACACTAAAAGTTATAAAATGTTTTTAATATCGCAGAATGTTTATGAAGTAACATGTTTCATCAAATAGATGTCATATAATTTGCTACTCAAGGGCTGGGGATGTGGCTCAAGCGGTAGCGCGCTCGCCTGGCATGCGTGCGGCCCGGGTTCGATCCTCAGCACCACATACAAACAAAGATGTTGTGTCCGCAGAAAACTAAAAAATAAATATTAAAAAAAAATAATAATAATAATAATTTGCTACTCAATATTTATTCAAAAAGTAATGTTGAAAATGTAAAAACTCATTAAAAGTCTACCTATTCAACTCCTTTCCAACTCTAAGAATTCATTAGTCCATTCAACTACCCTCTTTTAGTATTTACCCACAAAATGTGAAAGTTTTCTCTAATCACCCCAACCTTCCTTTTTTTTCTTGGTACTGGAAATTGAACTCAGAATGCTGTGCAACCGAGCTATATCCCCAGCCCTTTTTATTTTGAGACAGGGTCTTGCTAAGTTGCCCAGATTGGCCTTAAAAGTTGGGATCCTCCTGCCTCAGCCTCCAGAGTCACTGGAATTACAGGCATGTGTCACTGTGCCTAGTTTACCTATACTTCTATGCCACTCATAAACATATTTAAAGCTGGCCACTGCAGCGCATACTTGTAATCCCAAAGGCTCTGGGAGGATGAGATAGGAGAATTTCGAGTTCAAAGCCAGCCTCAGCAAAAGCAAGGCGCTAAGCAACTCAGTGAGACCCTGTCTCTAAATAAAATACAAAATAGGGCTGGGGATGTGGCTCAGTGGTTGAGTGCCTCTGAGTTCAATCCTCAGTACCAAATTAAAAAAAAAAAAAAAAAAAAAAACTTAAAAAAATATATATTTAATTTCAACATCTTATAAACAATTTCTCCTTAATTTTTATATGTAGCTGTGATTAATTTTTCCTCATTTCTTTTGATATTTTTAAAGTCCAATAAAATGGCCACTTTATAGCATTCTTTGCATCTTCCTTTTGAATAGTCAACTGTCCAGCCTGCACAGCTGGAGTTCACAATCACCTCACTCCTTGATACTCACTATAATAAACAAAGGAAACATAAAATACATAAGGTCCACATAATCAAACATGTATAGGTCCTAAGATTTAAATACTATCACATTTTCTGGGCTCAGTGGTAGAGTGCTTGCCTAGCTGTGGGAGACTGGTTGGATCTCCAGCACTGCAAAAAACAAAAAATAAAAAGAGGGATAAAACAGCTTTAAGTTTCAACACATGATGATAATCACTTAAAATAGGAAGAAAATCTTAACCAGACAAAATTTATTAACAGCTTTAGCAGATATCACCTTCAGCTGTGGAGACAACTAGCTTAGAATTTAAAAGATCTATGTTCCCTTAAAGAGAAAATGCAGGTAAGTAAGAACTTTAAAGCAACAACAACATATACATTCATCTATTACCAAAATGCAGAAATGACTATTACTGAAAATAGATGAGATTCAGGTCTCAGAAAGAATATTTCCACAGCAAATACATCCACGTACACTAGAATTCAGAAACAGTAAATATGTTAAGATGCAGAATCTTTTTCCAAAAAATCCTTCTTGATACTATATATTGAGTTTAATTGTAAAATAAAACAGTTCATTTTCATAGTTTCTTTCTTCTTGCAAATACAGAGAAAAAGATATTAGCAGGGAGAAAGGAAGATAAGCTTTTAGCACAAGCAGCCAATGGCTTTTTCAGTCTTCCAATAACAACCACAAAACAATTTGACAAAACGTGAACATTATTCTCTTTGGGACTACTGCTGGGTCACCGCCATGCAGACTCCCTGTGTGTCATTATTGTTCTTTTGAGTCTCCTGTTTCAGAAGCATGCTCATTTCACTGCCACAGCATTTTTCTCTAGTTGCCACCTATAATTTTATATTCTACCACCTTTAAGGAGCATTAACCTAAAAACATATCTTACGATTTTTTTAAACTAGGATGAACCAAAATCCTGAGACGTTAACTTTCCAAAATATTTAATGAAGATGAAAAGGCTATTTACTTATCCCAAAAGGAGTAGCTATTGTTAAAATCACATTTAGAGTCTCATACTTAAAAGTCTTAAGGTTTTTCCTTCATGTTAAGACTTTTTAAATTGAGTTTTAATTCAACTTGACAGAACACAAAATGTAACTGTAGCTAAACAGACAACTATATTAACTTAAAAAAAAAAAAAAAAAAAAAGAACGAACATTCTCATGTCAATGTGAAAAGGAGTAAAATTTGACTGAGGAATGATGAAAACCCACCAGCTCATGTGACTAAAAGAGGAAAAAAGAAATCAGTGAGAAAACTGCCTACTGCCCAAAACTTAAAGCAATATTCAGTATAATTAAAGTTTAAATTAGAATTACTTAAAAATAAATGTTTGCCAGATGTCTATGTGCCAAAGACTGCTCTAGCATTGAACATATAAGCTTGCATTATGAATTTAAAATTAAAATAATTTCAATAGCCTTTACCTGATTTATTAGAAAGGTAAGGATAGCTTATGGAGCAGTAGAGATCACTCATTGGCTCTGGTAGGAATCAGTGATGGGGCTCAAATCTGGTAAATTCTCTCATCTGAAAAGGAAGATTATAATTGTATATACCTCATTCAGTTGCTCAGGAGAATTAAATTAGGTATTTCACAAACTGTGCTTAGCATGGTACCCAGTACATAGTAATCACTTAGTATTAACTACTATTAGAAGCAGTAAGTAGTAACTTATTAGTATTATCATTTTAATCTAGAATCTGCAGGGCTAAAATGCCCTCTCCAGCTGCTAGTGGTTTTCTGAATAGTACTGTATAATTCTCCACTAATTCAGGCCCTCCCACCCTATTGGGGCTAGACTTACAGAATCCACCAAGAGTTCTTTCCTATATTCCATATTAGAAATCTAATATAAAAATATTTTCTATGTCTCAAAATTTAAAAGTAAAAATAATAAGGGCTAAGAATGTAGATCAGTGACAGAGAGATTGCCTAGCATGGACAGGCCCTGGTTCAATTCTCATTACTGCAAAAAATTAAAAATATTCTCTATAGAGTCTTTACATACTAATAATTTTGTTTTACATACTAATAATTTTGTGATGGGAAATACAGCAGAATGAACAGGGTTTGATTTAGTTAATCACGTATTAGCTCTAGTCAATAATCCTTTACAACAAATGTTTTCTGAGTTCTACCATTGTCATAGTCACTATTGTTGCAGAAACCCCACAAGAGGGACAAGAAAGAAGAAAAACTAAGTTGTAGCTATACTCTTCAAAGTTCTTCTGTTCTAAGAATCTGAAACGAATGGCCTCTTTGTTACTAAATTCCACATACACTTTTCCATCTCTGGCTTATGTGACCTCTCTGCAGCATGACACTGTTGGTCACTTTCTCTTTCTTGAAAAATCTCTCCTTCCTGGCTGCTCAGTCAGTAGCTTCCTTTCTCTGGGCCCCACACTTACAGGCCAAATTTCCCCAAGGTTCTTTTGATTTCATCTTAAAGGGGTGCAAGAAGAAATGCCTACAGTGGCCACAGGAGTGGGCCAGGAGCAGCCTTTACAGAAGTTTGCTCATCCAAAGGCACTGACTCAAGCCAGTTCCAACAAGTTGTTGCAATTAAAAAAAAAAAAAAAAAAATTAGACCTAGTGTTTTCAGATCTTCCAAATTTTCAAGATTAAAACTTAAAACTTTTCCATAAAATCTTCCAATATTTTCATGTCAGCAGCTCACTGAAACTTGTATGCATACAAGAGGGATAACAGTTACCCAGCAATTTTATAAATCCACTTCCTCATCAATGAAATTGCAGTAATTAAGTCACACATAAACATAAAAAGTCTAAATCAAAGAAAACATCCCTACAGGCTTTTATTATCACTTTACTCCATATCTACCAAGACTAGAGGTTACTACCCAGGTTTCCAACCAAATGTATAAAACTGTCCAAGTACATTTTCCTTTCCTTAAGAACCAGTGACCACACCAATCTACTTCTGATCTGCTTCTACCTTTTCAGCATCTATGAAGATGATGCCCACATTCACATGTGGCCAACCTCTGGAACCCACTTACCTTCTTCTGCCACCTCCTCTCCATCTCTCAGCTACCTTAATTCAGGCCAGCTTCACTCTCTTCTCAGTAGCTGCCTCACTGTTCTAATTCCAATCATGCTCTCCTCTATGCCACTCTTTATACAACCTGAATCCTCTAGATCACTTCTTTGGTCAAAGGCCTTTGGGGTCAGCTTACAAATTTATAAGAAATCTGAACTTCTTTGTGTAACATACAAACTCCTGAAGTCCTGGCCAGGCTGACCCTTCCTCTCCCCGTTTACTCCCCCACTCCCCCTACTCCAGGGCCACACAGAACCACAATTTGCAACACAGAATGCTCCTTTGTCCCTAGGCATTTATTCATACCAGCAGGTCCTACCTCCTTGAATACCTAACTCCTCCCATTCCCTTAGAAAAGAAATCTCTGCAAAGCCCTCTCACTTTAAGGCCTGCCCCCAGGCCAGAGGAGAAAAATAGGTTTCCTCAATACTGGCTTAGTTTTCTTCCCAAGTAGACTAAAAACTCCTCAAGGGCAGAGGTACCACAAGAAAGCTAATCTGGTAGATGAATGAACCACCAGTGACTTCAACAATTCCTGTCATCTCTTCAGGCAACACACTTTAAAGTGAGCCCACCAAGGCCCCCAACAGTACTCAGGCCTTCAAGGCCATGCAGGTCACTTCAAATCTTCCAGGAGGCCAAGAGTCAAACAAACCTACCTCCTCCTTTACCAGTGGGTACATTTATCACTCCTTTACATTTGCCAACTAGAAAGAATTGGGTAGCAGAGGCTAGGCTGACTGCAAGCTGCTGGAACTGTCCATGTGTATACTGCACAATTTTTTACTGGCACAAGAATATGTACTTGGCCCAAGAAATTAACTATAATATTCTTTCTGTAGTCAAATACTTATTAGTATTATTAACATATATTGAGTCAAAACTCATTAAAAATTCACACAAGAATATAAAAAATCTTTAGAGGAAAGTATTACATGAAGTTTATCCACTAGGAACTATTTTAAAGGACTGATGTGTAAATCCTCATTTAATTTTTTACATCAACCCTATGAAGTAAACACTATATTGCCCCGTTTCGTGGATGAAGAAACTGAGATAGTAATTTTAATTACCCAATTTCACACAGCTAGGATTCAAGACCAATGTGACTCTAGAGTCCATTCTTCTAACCAACACAAAACCTCACAATTACTGTTACGTTTAACAGCCTATGCTTATGTGGATGCCATATACATGCATATACTCAAAAGAAAGAAAACACACTTAAAATGTTAACAGTAGATGGGCTGCAGATGTAGCTTAGTGGTAAGAGCACTTGCCCACACATGTCCCTGAGTGTGATCCCAGTACTCAAAAAAAATAACAACAACAATGGTTATCCCCTGAGTGGGATGAATAGTAATTCTCCAAACACAGAATAAGAATGTATTATTTTTAATTACAGAAAATAAGTAAACAAATAAAATAAATAGTATTAGTATTTAGATGGTGCTACCAGAAAGGTAAAGTGGGCTAGGGGGATCAATCTTCCATCAGTAACTATTCTGGGGCCAAGCACATGGCTATCTCACTTACTGCTTAAGTCAAATAAATTTATTTCCATTTCCAGTTAAAGAAACCAAAGATTAAGTAACCTGCCCAGTGAAAGACCTGGGATCAGAACCCAAAAGCCCAGTTCAAACATGTCAGACTACAAGATGCCAAGATACAATAAAATTTCCCCCAAAACCAGTCTTAAAAACAAATCACAAGCTGGGCGCGGTGGCACACACCTGTAATCCCAATAACAAGAGGATCAAAAGTTCAAAGCCAGCCTCAGCAACTTAGTGAGGCTCCATCTCAAAAATAAAATGGGCTAGGGATATGGCTGAGTGGTTATGCACTCCTGGGTTCAATCCCTGGTACCAAAACAACAACAACAACAACAGATCATATTTTTTGAAGGAATAAAAACCAAGTAGTCAGGCTGGGCATATAGCTCAGTTGGTAGAGTGCTTGCCTTGTATGCACAAGGCCCTGGGTTCGATCCCCAGCACCCCCCCCCCCCCCCCCCCCGCAAAAAAAAGTAGTCTTATCACCTTAAGTGCAAGGAGGGGGGGGGGGAAAGAAACCTAAAATTTTTACTTTTTTTTTTTTTTTTTTTTAAACCAAGTATCTCAAAAGATCCAGAGCATTGTCTAAAATCAACTTTTATAGTCAGGGCCTCTGCGACAAACTCACACCTGATATAATGGGAAGGAGACTATGTGCTGTATGTTTTGCCAAACACAATTGTATTAGCATAAGTTAAGTGGACTTCAATGTGACTCCATTGTATTTACACAGGAGTATCTGTTCTGGAGATAATTCTAGCTTCCAAGACAGCCTCCTCTATTATCCTACCTTTTTACAAGTTACCAGGTATGGGGGTTGGGGGGTTTCATGTCTGGGAATATTGCTCTTTAGCTGTATTCAGATATAAATAGCCTTTTGTTATCTATAACCACTGGTCCAAACCTGGGTAGTGAGAGCTGCTGGCCCTGAGAAAGCATCTCAGGTAAAAATGAATGGATCAGCAATTTTCTGAAATGACATTTTAAGTTTTGAGTACTCAGAACTTTTAAAATCCATCTAAACTAAAATCTTCATTCTTCTAAAAATAGCAGCAAACATGATTAGCTGGGAGAAAAAAAACATTTGGGATGGAATAGACAAATGGGTTTATAAAATCTGAGGAAAGAAAATTTGATTACTTCATACTTATAAATTAAACACCAATTTTTAAAACAAAACATTTAACAGTGAAAAGGTATATTCTCTTTGCAATTTATAGCTAATCCAATATTTGCCCTGAAAGTCTGTATTAGTTTCAAATAAAATATAACTTTTAAAAATGTCAAACCTACCATTCCTACAGGAATAAAGTAGCCCATGAGGTGATTAGATTAGGGAATTAATATGCATTTGGGACAAGTGGGAAAAAGTACCAAAGTTTTGGTATTTGTTCAAACAGTTTTTGAAAGCTTAGGAATATGAAAAAAACATCAAATTATGAGGCAACAAGAGAATTTCTTTCAAACTTTAAAAATGTCCTGGGAAAAGGAATCCATAGAAGGATTTTTTCCCCCCACCAGTATGCTTTAAAAATAAAATCAAACTATAATAAAAGTAATGATTTTTGGTACACATTTATATGAAAATGTCCAAGTTAATAAGAAATTTCAACTGATCAACAGAGTTAAAACAACCATTAAATCTAATTTACATTTTGGTATGAAACCTATACAGTCTTCAATATCAAGACTTTCTTAAGCACAATGCTAAATGGTTGGTTATCTATCACTGTGGAGAATGAGTTTTACTTCAGGCAGACCAAAGGAAAAGACATACTTGGTTAAGAATCATAAGGAGTCTCAGGTGCCTGACAGAAGTCAGCTCTGAGCAAGTCATGGGTTATATCCATTGCTCTCCAAATTACTCTTTTTACTATTGGTAGGGTGTGAGTGGTCAGAACGTGGAATACCTCGGCTAGCAATATCCAACCTGCTGCCAAGCAGGACACAATAAAAAACGCACTGGCCCAAGCTCACCAAAAAAAAAAAAAAAAAAAAAAATGGGGGGGGGGGGGGACAAACAAGAGAGGAAAAATAACGTTTCCAAACGTGCCCACACTGGGGGCTGGGGAGGAGGGTGTCAGGAACCATTAACATTTCAACATCAACTCTAAAGAACAACCAGAAGGAGGTTAAGAGTAGCCACAGGAAACTTCCTATCCCTGAAAAGTGGGAAATCTAGAATTGGAAACTTCAGTTTACAACATTCAAAAAACAAAAATAAAAACCTCTCAGAAATTCAAGACGCCAAAACAGAACTAAATTGAATCCGTTTAAACAGAAAATAATAATAATAATAATAATAATAACAATAAAAACTCCAGAGGGCTCTTCCACAGACCCTTCTAAGATGTGGCAGTAACAAGTTTCCTTAAAACTTCCATTTCTCTGATTCCATAGTGCCATATAAGAATAGTGCATAAATTAATCAGTTATCAGAATAAATAAACTACTGATCTTAAACTGTAGGAAGACCTTGTTTCAAGAGCTGCCCTGCCCACCTCCCCCCTCCTCCTCCTCCTCCTCCTCCTCGCAGTTTTGAAAGCTTCCAAGCGTCCTGAGAACCAGGGACCCTTGGTTCCATTCCGGGGTTGGTTTACCGGACAGTGACCAAATAGGAGGGCTGCTCCTGCATCTGGGGGCTGCTCCAGAAATCCTGCCTGGTCCTGCCCCTCACGCTGCCTGTCTCGCTGCTCCCCACATTTCCCTCTGCCGGAGCTGACCAGAAAAGGGGATTTTGGACCCAAAGGAGTCCGGGACGAAGGAAAAGGGTGGTAAACCTGATAATAAACCCAGTTCGGGGGGGTAAGGGCTAAATCGGAGATGGGCAGAGACTGTCCAGAAGAAACACCACCTGAATCTCCCTCCCTTCCCACCCCTAAAAAACACGGTCACTAACTAATAACGCTAAGAAAAATCCCTTGAAAACTTTTCCAAACCGGAAGAGAAGGCCTTTCCCCCAGCCTAAGGGCTCTTGGGGAACAGGCTGGAGTTTGCAGCCCGACGGGGCTCGCTGGGAGTGGGGTGGGGCGCGGGCCAGGGGTGCAGGGGCGGAGTACCTTCAATGGACAGGAACTGGCAAAGAGTTTCAAAATAGCCGAGTGCTCTCCCCACGCCCCCGGGGGTCCCGGGCGGTAGGTCCAGGGCTCCCCGAAGAGAGGGCAGACCCCAATTCGGTCCTAAAAGGAAACTTTCCGGGCCGCGGCTGCACCTGACTTCTCACCGCCCCTCCACCCCACCCCACGCCCGCCAGGCCGCCCGCCCCGCCCCGGCCTGCCGCCCGGAGCGCGAAGGAGGGGGATAAATAAATTCAACTGTTACCGGAATCCGGGGGGCGTCTGTGAGACACCCAGGGGGAAGGGGGGCCGGCGCCCATTCTCCACTCCTAGGCCTTGACGCCCCTGACGCCCCTGTCCCGTCAGTCCGGGCCTGCCGCCCCGCGGGAGAGCCTCGGGGCCGGCGCCGAATTTCGCCCCGCAGCGCCGCCGTCCCGCCTGGAGGTCCCGAGGGACCCGAGGGGGCGCGTGCAGGCCCGGGGTGCGGGGGCAGGGCGCGGCCGCCGCGGGGCCCGCCGGCCCGAGGCCTAGCCGGCTCCCCCCCCCCTCCCGCCGCACACCCCCACCCCGGCCCGCACAGGCCTCGCCACCCGGCCGTCTCCCGCCCCGGCCGGACCCCCGCCCGCCCGTCCGCCAGCCTTCGGTCGCCGCCGGCGGGCGCCCCCGAGGCCCGTAGGCCCCCGGCCCCCGCCACCCCAGCGCCGGCCCCACTCACCCTTTCATTCTCCGCCCCGGGCCTGGCGTGGGCCGGCAAATCCCCGGCCTCACGTAAGCGCGCTCGCCGCCCGCCCTGCCTGCGCGGCCCAGCCCGCCGCCCTACGGGAGCCCGGGGATGTGGGCCGGGCCTGGGGCCGCCTCTGCTTACCTTTCAGCTGCTTTTTTTTTTTTTTTTTTTTTTTCCTTCCTCCTTCCCCCCTTTTCCCTCGGCTGGGCTGACAGATCAGAGTGAGAGGCGCTGGCAATGGACTAGGAAGCTCGGCTGCCGCTGCTATTGCTCCCCCCTGGGCTTCAGTGAGAGCCTTTCCCTGTCAAGCAAGAGGGGTGAGGATCATATTTTTATTTTGGAAAGTAAAAAGTGCTCCCAGGGTCGGTGATTATTAAGGGGAAATCCCTGAATATACTCTCCAGCCAAGAAGGCAGGGCTGCCGGGGCTGCACAAGAAGAGGCAGCAGCCTCCTACAGCACCACTACAGGCACTGCGAGGACATAACACCAGAGAGTGGCTCCTCTGCCCTCCGAAACGACAACTTTCCTACCATCTTGGAGGCAGAGCAAAGGGGGGCCAGGGGGAAAAGTGCACTCTCTCCCTGATAAAGTGCACATTTCTACTTCTCACCTCTGGAAAAAAGTCCACACCGGCCGTCGACACCAGCGCCTGAGGGAGAAAGCAGGGAAGAAACTGAGGGTTCATGAGAAACGTGTGCATTTGCTCCAGGGGGGAAAATGTTTCTGCATCTTCTGATGGGAAGAAATCTTTACAAGACACAGGTTTTCCGGTGATTATTGTTTTCTCTTTTCTATCTTAATTTTTTTCCATGTTAGTGAAAGTCGTATTTTTTTTTTAAAGTCAGTAATGATTTTTGTCCATTACAGGTTTAAGTTCTGTGGCTGGTGGACAGTTTATAAATCTGTACTTCAAGAGACTTCATAGTTATTTTGTCTATTTATTTTTGTTACTCTATATATAAATGTTTGTGTTTTCATATATAAACATACACATATGTCTGTATTACGTATTCTAAACTGAGATTGCTGTAAGACAATTGTAAAGAGATGTCTTTTGTCTCCTCCTTGCAAAGCAATGTAAATAAAACCTATTGACTGTCCAGAAAGGCATAATACAGCTATTTATTTTTCACAGTGCAAATAAAAGCAGACATCACTGGAGGTTTAAATCCAACCCCAGTGTATAACTGACCATGTTTCTGGAAATAATCCTAATTCTGTTGTGGTCTGCCCATGAAGGAAGAATACTGTAAACCTGGAAATAGATTTTTAAACTCAGCTTTAGGTTTCTTAAGGAAAATTATTAAGATTGATAGGTGGTCATTTCGTTTTTATCTATCTAGAGTCCTTAAAGTTTAGGTCTTTGTATTACATATGTTGCTGTCTGCATCCTGTATCACAGAATTGAGAAATCTGTTATTTTTGTTAAAGTTGAAATGTTAGTTCAGAACTTTAACTGTGTTGCCGGTCTGTATGAATGAGTTTTCATATATTACAACGAATGTCATGAAGCTGTTGTTTTTTTTTTTGTTTTTGTTTTTGTTTTTTTAATGAACAAAGCATGGTAGGTTAATAGGATGAAAAATAAACAATATTGAGGTAGTGCAAAAGTGATAGAAGGGCATTGCCTATTTGCATCAGTTCCAAGAGAATTCTTATTGGAGAAAAATGAATTATACAGACTTTTTCCATTTTTGTGAAGAGAGAGAAGAATGGTAGAAAATGACCAGACTGTCTTTATGTATGTTCTACAGGGAATGAGGAATGGAATTTTGTACTAAAAGATATTTTTTCTAACACATGTTGGCTAACCTCATGGGAATGAATTTGTAGTATTAGTGCCTTGGATCAGTAGTAAGTAACTTATGACTCCACATAAAAATGTCTATTTTTTGAGCTCCCGAATTCAGAAATTGTTATATAACTTTAAGGTGAGTTCAGTTAATGCACATATCAGGTATTCACTCTGCCTTGCTGAACCCCATCTTTATTATCTAAATTTGAATATAATACCTGAATATCCGAATTATTTTTGTGGTTTTTGCCTCCCTCTTTAATAGGGAAAAAAAAAAAAGTAAGTAAAATTAACTGGTTTATTTATTTATTTAGTTGTTTATTGTACTGGGGATTGAAACCAGGGTGCTTTACCACTGAGCCACATCCCCAGCCCTTTTTATTTTTTATTTTGAGATAGGGCCTTGCTAAATTGCTGAGACTGGTTTGGAACTTTGGGTCCTCCTGCCTCTGCCTCCAGAGCCACTGCCAACTTAACTGGTTCTTAACATCTTTGAAGCCTCAGTTGTGAACTTTGCTTTACTTATTTGTTTTTAACATTTGGAGATAAACACAGTGGTCATTGCAAGGAAACTATTTCCCTTTACTTAGACCTCTAGTGAACTTGAAAACCATGTTTGCTAAAAGCTTGTTTTTCCTTATATATGATATAACTTTATAGATGATGTTTTCAGTGTTTCAAGAAATTCAGATGTATTTGTTTGCCTTAAGCTGGCTGTATCTTTTTATGCAATCCCTTTTGTCACCCAAGAGACATGTGCTTGCATGATGTCTATCAGGCTAATACTGTACTTGTATAATCACAGGATTTCAGTGCTTTCTCTTTATAAAGGTTGACTTGTACATGGGTATAAACTATTTATTCATCATCCTAGCCAACTAGTCAAAATTTGGGGGATTGCTGCTCAACTAAGAAGAATCCCACTGAATTTGCAATATTGGTGAATTTGGTCACTTGTTTCCGTTGTTAACTCATTTCAGGCACCCTCAATTCTTAGAAGCAAAAGTGCTAAAAAAAAAAAAAAAGCTGTCATAATTTAGGAGCACTTTTTTTTCCTCCAGCAAAATTCTCACTACTCAAATTTGGCTAACTTTTGAAAAGGGGTCTTGCTCTGTTGCCAACACCTGGGCTCAAGTGATCCTCCCACTTCAACCTCCTTAGTAGCTTGAATTAGTCAAATACCTGCCTGTCACCACCCTGCTGGCTCACATTGGTAACTTTGCTAGATAGTTTTGTTTTGTTTTTTTTTGTTTTGTTTTGTTTTGTTTTAAAGAGAGAGAGAGAGAGAGAATTTTAATATTTATTTTTTAGTTCTTGGCAGACACAACATCTTTGTATGTGGTGCTGAGGATCGAACCCGGGCCGCACGCATGCCAGGCGAGCATGCTTCCGCTTGAGCCACATCCCCAGCCCGATACTTTTTTAAAAAGTAGTTTTAATTGTAGATGGACACGATACCTTAATTTTATTTATTTATTTTTATGTGGTGCTGAGGATCAAGCTCTGTGCTAGGTGAGCGCTGTACTTCAACTGAGTTACAATTCCAACCCTGCTAGATACCTTTATGTATGTATTCTCATTTAATTCCCACAGGAGCTCCAAAAAGTTTTATGCTATTTTTTTCCTTTTATTTTTTTAAGACAGGATAGTTGTCTAATTTGTCAGAGTGTGAAATTTCTTGGCTCAATAAAATTCTAGGTTCTGCCCTGCAGTTTCCAAGGTGCCTACTAAAATGCCATGGGTCTAGAAATCCTAGGTTCCTGACCACTGTGCTTTGCCAAAAACAATTTTAGTCACCTGCTACTGGAGCCCTCTTTCATTCATTAGTTAACTAGTAGCTTATTTCACCTTCCTGAAGTGTAGTGCCTAAATCTATCAATTGTTTTGAAGAATGCAAAAAGGTTAATATTTGTCAGTGAAATGCACTGTGAGCCAGGTGCAGTAGCATACACCACACCTATAGTCCCAGCAACTACGGAGGCTGAGGCAGGGCAAGTTCTAAGCCAGCATGGGCAATTTAGCAAGATCCTGTCTTAAAATTTAAATAATAATAGTAAATGGGGCTGGGGATGTGGCTCAAGCAGTAGCATGCTCGCCTGGCATGCGCGCGGCCCGGGTTCGATCCTCAGCACCACATACAAACAAAGATGTTGTGTTAGCCGAAAACTTAAAAATAAATAAATATTAAAAATTCCCTCCCCCCCCTTTAAAAAAAAATAGTAAATGAACTGGGGATGTATGTAGCTCAGTGGTAAAGCACTCCTGGGTTCAATACCTGTTGTCAAAAAGAAATGCATCGTTATTAAGAAAAAATTTCTTCCAGATCCTCAAAATGAGCAGTATCAGTTGGTGTAAAGCACTAGCTAATTTATTCTATCATGCCTTGATTTCATAAGTAGCTGTTTGGTCTTTAGTTGAAATAGGACTACACTTGCCTTAGTTTTTGTTTTTATTTTTTTTAAATATTTATTTTTTTAGGTGTAGATGGACACAACACAATGCCTTTATTTTTATGTGGTGCTGAGGACCGAACCCAGGTTCCGCCCATGCTAGGCAAGCACTCTACCACTGAGCCTCAGTCCCAGCCCCAGTTTTTGTTTTTAAACTGGATATTGAACCCAGGTGTGCTCTACCACGCTAGCCATTTTTATTTTTGAGACAAGGTTTTGCTAAATTGCTGAGTCTGGCCTGGAACTTGCCATCCTCCTGCCCCAACCTTCCCAGTTGCTGAGATTAGCTAGTACAGGTGTGGGCTGTCTTACCTTAATATTTTTACTATCAGAATCTAATCAATCTACCTTCTATATTAATGATTTTAGTTTTATAAAAATTGACCACCATATTATGGCTGTTACAGTGAAGTTATTAAGAAAAATACCACCTATATCCTTAAAAGGTCTCATTCATAGATTGTGAGGATTTAAAGCAAAAGATGTATGTACGTTTAATATAGTAGAATTTGTCTTTACACAATAAAGCCATGATTTTGTTGGCAAATGTTTGCTGACAGAATCACATGGGCTTAAAAAAAAAACAAAACTGATGACATGGTTAGGTAAATTTGGTGGGTTTTTTTGGAGGGTAGTTGTGATGATAAGAATCTTCCCTAATGTTAAAGGTGTTTTTTCCCAACACAGGCAGACTTTAAAATAATACCAAGAATTCCTGGCAAGTAAAATTCCAAGGAGCTGGGTGTGGTGGCTACTGAGGAAGTTGAGGGTCGCTTGAGCCCAGAAGTTCAAGGATGTAGTGTGCTATATCAAAGCCAATTGGGTGTCCTTACTAGGTTCAGCATCAATATGGTAACCTCCTAGGAACAGGGACACTAGTAGGTTTGCATGTGCTGGGCACTAGTGGGCTTATGCCTGTGAGTAGCCACTGCACTCCAGTCTGGGCAACATGGCAATACCCCAGAAGTAAGGAGGTAGTAGTGGGATGTGTACGTGGCCTAAAAATTTGCAATGCCACACTCTTATTGTGGCCATACACAATTTTTTTTAAAGCATTTCTGTTTTGGAAACATTTCTTGGTAATGTTTCCATCTAAAACAAAGATATTTGTGTTTTATTGTGGTTACTATAACATGAAAGAAAGTATTCCTGAGATAAGTTATATATTTGGCAGACATTTAGATCATAGCTTTAGATTATTTGAGAATGAAATTTCAGTAGTAACAATTCAACTATAATCAAAATGTGCATGAACGTTATTCAGGTAGTCTCTTAAATTATACCACCAAACTCAGGACGAATAAGACCTAGAAACTATCATATGATTACATGTCAAAAGCCAAGAAAGCTGGGGAAGAGTGTTAGGGAGATTGTTTGTTTTAAAACTCCACAAAGTCAAGAATATATCTTCTAGGCCTCTGATGGCAGTGCTTATCAAGCTATAGCAGAGAACATGACACTATAGCCTAGGCTATAGGCACTCTTTGGCCATTATACTGACTCCTTGATATTAGAAAAAGGAAAATAATTCTCCAACAGAAGTCCTGTTTTAAGTATTGGGTGGTAAAAAGAAACATCCCCAAAGAACAATTAAAAGATTGGATTTGGATAGAATTACAAGTGACCGTCAACATTTTCTATAATTTGTAATGAGAAAAGCTGTTCCCAAAGTGGTGGTTAAACATTGTAATAAGGAGAGAAATCCATAGAGACTTCGGGATAATAGGCAGAGGTTAGCACAAAGGTGACAGTGTTCATTTCTACTGCATTCTTAGTTAAGTAAGCTTTTGTGGACCCTCTGGGAATATAACCACTATTTCCATGGGAAAATAAATTCCAGGTTCCAAACAACTAATTTACAGTGATTTTCTGGATCATAGCCCACTAATAAGTTTGAACTTCCTGTGCTGTAACATCTTTCCCATGTCCTTAAAGACAACCAGAACTCACTAGTGAGAATAGGGAAGTAAGTTACTCCTCATTACAATAAAATAAGGAGTAACTATCAACATAGTCCAAATAGCTTGATTTAAACCCAGGGAAGATAATCAAAGACATAAAGTTTTTAAAGGCAGTGGTAGTAATTGAAAATCTTTTTTTTTTTTAAGAGAAACAGAGAGAGAGAATTTTTTAATATTTATTTTTTAGTTTTTGGCAGACACAACATCTTTGTATGTGGTGCTGAGGATCGAACCCGGGCCGCACGCATGCCAGGCGAGCGCGCTACCGCTTGAGCCATATCCCCAGCCCCGTAATTGAAAATCTTACTGTTTACTTTTGTATACATTGGAATTTCTGGTTTTTGCATAACCGGGTGCCATATAACATTGGTATTTGCATTTTGTTTAAAATATATATAATCTTAGTTGCTGATGGACCTTTATTTTAATTACATATGGTATTAAGAATCAAATCCAGTGACTCACACATGCCAGGCAAGCACTCTATCACTGAGCCACAACCCCAACCCCTGTTTCATTCTTAAAACCAGAAAGAGAAAGAAATGTGGTCATGACAGCAGATAAGATTCCACTAGAAACTACTCAACCTAGCTGGGTGTGATAGCACATACCTATAATCCCAGCAGCACAGGAGGCTGAGGTAGGAGGATCATGGGTTCAAAGCCAGCCTCAGCAAATTAGGGAGCCTGTAAGCAATAGTCTCTCAAAATAAAAAAAAATAATAATAACAATAATAAAAAAATAAACACTGAGCCACATCCCCAGCCCTATTTTGTATTTTATTTAGAGACAGGGTCTCACTGAGTTGCTTAGTGCCTTGCTTTAGCTGAGGCTGGCTTTGAAGAGATTCTCCAGTCTCAGCCTCCGGAGCCACTGAGATTACAGGCGTGCACCACCCTGCCCAGCTTTCAAAATAAAATTTTAAAAGGGGAAAGGGGGTTCAATGTGGCTCAGTGATTAAGCACCCCTGGTCTCTATCCCTGGTACCAAAAAAAGAAAAGAAACTACTCAACCTAATCCCTCTATTAGGTGGTGTTCTTTTTGCCTCATACAGGAAGCCATGGCCACTTTTGTTTTGATGCTTCTTTTCTTGTTTTGATGTTCTCTGTTCTCAGCTCTGCCAACTCAAATTCCATTCTGCTTTGATGCTTTGCTTAAAACCTTGTCCCTGAAGCCTTCTGATGCCAACCCAAGTGTACAAATTCTTACTTTAGTGTCCTACATTGTTTTCCAGATTTTGTTTGTTTGTTTGTTTGTTTTTGTTTCTGTTTTCCAAATAGGTAAGGGGCTGTGGTGGTTAAGAGCTTAATCTCTGAGGTCAAAGTCATCAAGTTTAGAAATATAGCTCCAGCATTTTTGTGCTGTTTGACTCTTTGTAAGCTTCTTAACCTCTCACTTTCCTGATTGGTAAAAATGGAGATAATAGTACTA